GAACCGAGGTTTATTTTGCGCCAGAAATTGAAGAAGGAATATTGAAAAAATAGGTAAAGTTAATATTTATTTAAAAATAAAAGTTTTTTTCAATTTTTTTTATATTTTATAATTAAAACTACAAAAATAAAATTTTTTTTACTCTACATATTTAGTCTGATGTTTTCTCATTAGGAATTATTTTTCTGGAATTAGATAACATAAATACATTCAATATTTGTGGTACTACAAATAAGGACAAACTAAAAATTAAAGATGGAAATATCTTCTCAAACTATTAAATTAATAGGTTATCTTCAATTTACAAGATAGCACAACAGTGCTTAAATTACTACGTGGATAATCGTAAATCTGCGATTGAATTGTTAATTGAATTTATACGTTAGAATTAGCAGTATATAAACATTACTCTCTATTCTGTGATTAATAAAGTAATTAAATAAATATATTAACTTATTTATTTTTTAATCCTTTATTAAATAACTTTTTAGTCACAATTAAAGTAGGAATCAGAGCAAATAAGTTTAATTGAAAAAGGTTCTATCGAATAATAGTCAAAAAAATAAAGCTAGATCTAAGAAATTTCCTAATATAGCAATGTAAATAAATTAATAATTATATTAATTTAATTAAAACTAGAAATAAATTGATTTACTTATTTTTTTTAATTCTTTATTAAATAACTTTTAGTGGCAATTAAAGTAAGAATCAAAGCAAATAAGTTAAATTCGAAAAATATCAATCGAATACTAGTAAAAAAAATAAAATCAGATCTAAGAAATTTCCTAATTTGGTAATGTAAATAATTAATAATATTAATAGAATTAAAACTTTTTTAAAATTAGAAATAAATTTATTAACTTATTTATATTTTAATTCTTTATTAATAATTTTATAGTCACAATTAAAGCAGGAATCAGAGCTAATAAGTTCAATTCAAAAAAGTTCTATCGAATACTAATAAAAAAAATAAAGCTAGATCTATGAACTCTCCTAATATGGCAATGTAAATAATTAATAATTTTATTAATTCAATAAAATCTTTTTTAGAACTAGAAACATCTTAAAAAGCTAATCAAGGTGTTTAATTAGTAAAAATATAAACCTATCAACTCAGATGAATATGAAAAAATTCTAAAGATACTCTAAAATAATCCGAAGTATGATAGTAATTTAGAATTTATTTCAGTTGGTGGAAAAGGATTGGTCATGGGAGCTTTCAACAAACCTGAGGGAAGAAAAGTAGCATTGAAAATTTAGAAATTTTAATCTAAACATGAAGTTATTCGAGAAGTTGGAATTATGAGAGACTGTTAAATGCCTCTTGTGATTAAATTCTATGACTTTTTCTATATGTCTGTGAATAACAAAGATGATTTTGTTGTTTTTGAATTAGAAAAGTGTACAGGTAATCAATCTTTTTATTATTGAAATTAATATTTATTTAAATAATTTATTTGCAATTATTTACAAGGTAACTTAAAGCAATTCTTAAACAAACTTAAGGAAGGACAGATCTTATTGAGTGAAAGCTAGAAGATGAAGATTGCTGTTTAAATTATTGATGTTATCAACTATCTTAATTGTAATTAGATTGTTCATGGAGACATCAAGTTAGATAATATTCTTTACATCGATAATATGATTAATGTACCCACTATTAAATTAGGTAATAAATATATCAATTTCAGAAGAAAAAAAGGCTTAATATATTATTTATAAAATAGCCGATTTTGATTAATCTAGAAAATTACCTTGTGAATTTATAGGTCTTTTAGATAAATAAAAATTTTTTGAATACACTCCCGCTTAAGGAATTGTAATAATTTTAAATATTGAAAATATATTAAATAATAATTTAAAAAAGTATGGAACCTTAGGATATAATTCACCAGAATTAATAGATAAATAATAATATACATTAGAGGTAAATAAATAAATTAATTTTATTATTTAAATTAAAATTGATTTTTAATTTACTAAAAGTGTGAAATATTCTCAGTTGGAGTTTGTCTTGCCCTTCTAGATAATTTTGAGAAACTAGAACCTGTTATTTTGAAAAAAGCACTTGATCATTAGAATGGATTCAAAATTCCCTTTGAACGAAGTATCAACTTCTAAGATGAAGTTATTAATAGAAAAGGATAGATTTATGAAATCATATTTTAAACAGTCGTCTTTAAACCACAATAAAGAAAGTCTTTATCTTAAATTCTCTTAAATTTGGAATAAAAAGAATACTCATATTACTCAAAAATACACTATTCAACTGAATCTGTAGTTTTTTTTGCTTTTATTTTAAAATATATTTTTTTATTTATCTATTTTTTAAATAGGCACTAAAATACTTCAAAAATTGCAAAATACTCGCTCTAGATTATGAGTATACCTTTTATATTAATTTATTTATCTATATTCTATCAAATAATATAAGACGAATTAGATTAATATATTTTCATCTGACTAGTTAAATTCAATTTTTTAATTTTTTGTAGAAAAAAAATAATAATTTTTAAAAAAATACATGAAATAAAAAATAAATATAAGGGTTACTTTATTTGAAACATTTTTATAATTGATTTTATTCAATTTATTATTATTTTTTTTAAATTTAATTAGGTCTAATAATATAGATTCAGATGGGGCGAAAGCAGTTGCTTCCGAAATAGCTAAATGTACTAATCTCTCCACTTTAAGCCTTTCACTTTGGTAATTTTTTACACATTTTCTCAATTTATAGTTTAAATAAATCATTAAAGAAATCAAAGAATTAAACAATATTTAATTAATTAAGCATTTTTGTTAATTTTAATTAGGAGGAATCAAATAGATTCAGATGGGGCGAAAGCAGTTGCTTCCAAAATAGCTAAATGTACTAATCTCTCCACTTTAAGCCTCAACCTTTCGTATTTTTTTACTCATTTTCTCAATTTATAGTTTAAATAAATCATTAAAGAAATCAAAGAATTAAACAATATTTAATTAATTAAGCATTTTTGTTAATTTTAATTAGGTGGAATCAAATAGATTCAGATGGGGCGAAAGCAGTTGCTTCCGAAATAGCTAAATGTACTAATCTCTCTACTTTAAGCCTCAACCTTTCGTAATTTTTTACACATTTTCTCAATTTATAGTTTAAATAAATCGTTAAAGAAATCAAAGAATTAAACAATATTTAATTAATTAAACATTTTTGTTAATTTTAATTAGGAGGAATCAAATAGATTCAGTTGGGGCGAAAGCAGTTGCTTCCGAAATAGCTAAATGTACTAATCTCTCTACTTTAAGCCTCAACCTTTCGTAATTTTTTACACATTTTCTCAATTTTTGTTTAAATAAATCATTAAAGAAATCAAAGAATTAAACAATATTTAATTAATTAAGCATTTTTGTTAATTTTAATTAGGTGGAATCAAATAGATTCAGATGGGGCGAAAGCAGTTGCTTCCGAAATAGCTAAATGTACTAATCTCTCCACTTTAAGCCTTGAAATTGGGTAATTTTTTACACATTTTCTAAATTTATAGTTTAAATAAATCATTAAAGAAATCAAAAAATTAAACAATATTTAATTAATTAAGCATTTTTGTTAATTTTAATTAGGAGGAATCAAATAGATTCAAATGGGGCGAAAGCAATTACTTCCGAAATAGCTAAATGTACCAATCTCTCCACTTTAATCCTCGATATTGGGTGATTTTTTACACATTTTCTCAATTTATAGTTTATATAAATCATTAAAGAAATCAAAAAATTAAACAATATTTAATTAATTAAGCATTTTTGTTAATTTTAATTAGGTCTAATAATATAGACTCAGATGGGGCGAAAGCAATTGCTTCCGAAATAGCTAAATGTACTAATCTCTCCACTTTAAGCATCAACATTGGGTAATTTTTTACATATTTTCTCAATTTATAGTTTAAATAAATCATTAAAGAAATCAAAGAATCAAACAATATTTAATTAATTAAGCATTTTTGTTAATTTTAATTAGGTCTAATAATATAGATTCAGATGGGGCGAAAGCAGTTGCTTCCAAAATAGTAAAATGTACTAATCTCTCCACTTTAAGCCTCAACCTTGAGTAATTTTTTACACATTTTCTCAATTTATTGTTTAAATAAATCGTTAAAGAAATCAAAGAATTAAACAATATTTAATTAATTAAGCATTTTTGTTAATTTTAATTAGGTCTAATAAATTTGATTCAGATGGGGCGAAAGCAGTTGCTTCCGAAATAGCTAAATGTACTAATCTCTCCACTTTAATCCTTGACATTGGGTAATTTTTTACACATTTTCTCAATTTATAGTTTAAATAAATCATTAAAGAAATCAAAGAATTAAACAATATTTAATTAATTAAGCATTTTTGTTAATTTTAATTAGGAGGAATCAAATAGATTCAGATGGGGCGAAAGCAGTTGCTTCCGAAATAGCTAAATGTACTAATCTCTCCTTTTTAAGCCTCAACCTTGAGTAATTTTTTACACATTTTCTCAATTTATAGTTTAAATAAATCGTTAAAGAAATCAAAGAATTAAACAATATTTAATTAATTAAGCATTTTTGTTAATTTTAATTAGGTTGAATAAAATAGGTTCAGATGGGGCGAAAGCAGTTGCTTCCGAAATAGCTAAATGTACTAATCTCTCCACTTTAAGCCTCAACCTTGAGTAATTTATTACACATTTTCTCAATTTATAGTTTAAATAAATCATTAAAGAAATCAAAAAATTAAACAATATTTAATTAATTATACATTTTTGTTAATTTTAATTAGATAATAAGAAGAAGAAGAAGAAAAATGTTCGATTTTTTGAAGGCAGTTGATTTTAAAATAGATTAATTAAAAATATATTTAACCTAAAAATTAATAGAAGGAATTTTCGATTTTATAATATATTATTAGTAAAATTAAAAATAAAGAAATAGAAAAGTTATATGGGTAATCTTTAATGAGTCTCTTAGATAAGAGCATTTAATAGAAAATTAAATTTTTAATTATTTTTTACTTAATAAAAAATCAAAAATAATTTTTTAATTATTAAATTAAATGAAATTATATATATATTTCATACATTTATAGACACCAAGTATATACTTAATAATTATATATTTTATAATTTTTATATTTTCTAATAAAGCCTTAATTTTCATTTCTTAGAAAATATTTGATTATTAATGATAATACATCTTCTCATCTCATTAATTAACTTTTTATATAAATTCTTATCTGTTTGTGTGTGACACTATGTGGAAGTTAAATGCTACATTTTGATTAGATAGCTTATCTAAATAATGGCAATATTTTTTTTTTACTCCTTTTCCACATTTCAGAATCATTTAGTCCTAATAGAAAAGCTATGAGTATCTGGATAATTATATGTTTTATTTATATTTTTCTTCATTATATATAAATAACCTAATTTAAATTGGAATATCAATTTATAAGGTATTTCAAATAATTACCATTACACTATTTTAGGTAATGTAACCCCTAATCGAATCCTAGCTTAAATGATTATAAAAAGGTGGTGTAATCAATAAATTTTTATTAGATATTTTTTCTAAAATTGCTTACAGTCTAAATACCGTACTTTCTCTTTTTTTCGGACCTCTGAATTCGGATAACAAGAGAAATTGATATTTTTTAAACAAACTTCAAAAATTCATAAAGAAATATACAAACTAATAAATAATAAATAAATAAAACAAATAAATAAATTTATAAATTTATAAATTTAATCTTTATGTTTAATTTTAAGAAACATTTCTGAGTGTATAAATACATGTATTTATATGCGAGTATATTAATTAATTAATAATCATCAATTTAATTTACACTTTTTAAATATTGAAGAAAAAATATATCATTAAATAGTTAATTAGAAGGAAAAAATGAAGAAAAAATATGAAATAATAAGATTAATTAATATTAAATGCAAAAATTTAAAATAAATGATGAGCTTAATTAACAAAGAAAAAACAAAAAAAAGCAAGCACGATAAAAAGAAAAACAAAAAAGAGCTTTATTGTTTTTAATTAGTTTTTATAATTAAAAATATCACAATCCAAAACAAATAAACTGTTTTTACCGAAGATCAAGTGTCAAATTTGAGAGATTAATGCATTTTGCTAAAGCAGAACCTAAGCCTGATGCACCTTCATCACCAATTTAATTTTAACTTTTTAAATATTGAAGAAAAAATATATCATTAAATAGTTAATTAGAAGGAAAAGATGAAGAAAAAATATGAAATAATAAGGTTAATTAATAATAAAAGCTAAAGTTTAAAATAAATGATGATCTTAATTAACAAAAAAAAAAAAAAGCAAGCATGATAAAAAGAAAAAGAAAAAAGAGCTTTATTGTTTTTAATTAGTTTTTATAATTAAAAATTACACAATCTAAAACAAATAAACTGTTTTTACTCAATGTTAAGTGTCAAATTTGAGAGATTAATGCATTTTGCTAAAGCTGAACCTAAGCCTGATGCACCCATTGCACCAATTTGATTCCAACTTTTTAAATATTGAAGAAAGAATATATCATTAAATAGTTAATTAGAAGGAAAAAATGAAGAAAAAATATGAAATAATAAGATTAATTAATAATAAAAGTAAATGTTTAAAATAAATGATGAGCTTAATTAACAAAGAAAAAACAAAAAAAAGCAAGCACGATAAAAAGAAAAACAAAAAAGGCCTTTATTGTTTTTAATTAGTTTTATAATATCACAATCCAAAACTAATAAACTGTTTTTACCTAAGATCAAGTGTCAAATTTGAGAGATTAATGCATTTTGCTAAAGCAGAACCTAAGCCTGATGCACCTTCATCAACAATTTTATTACAACTTTTTAAATATTGAAGAAAAAATATATCATTAAATAGTTAATTAGAAGGAAAAAATGAAGAAAAAATATGAAATAATAAGATTAATTAATAATAAAAGCAAATGTTTAAAATAAATGATGAGCTTAATTAACAAAGAAAAAACAAAAAAAAGCAAGTACGATAAAAATAAAAACAAAAAAGAGCTTTATTGTTTTTAATTAGTTTTTATAATTAAAAATATCACAATCCAAAACAAATAAACTGTTTTTACCGAAGATCAAGTGTCAAATTTGAGAGATTAATGCATTTTGCTAAAGCAGAACCTAAGCCTGATGCACATTCATCACCAATTTAATTTTCACTTTTTAAATATTGAAGAAAAAATATATCATTAAATAGTTAATTAGAAGGAAAAAATGAAGAAAAAATATGAAATAATAAGATTAATTATTAATAAAAGCAAAAGTTTAAAATTAATGATGAGCTTAATTAATGAAGAAAAAACAAAAAAAAAGCAAGCATGATAAAAAGAAAAACAAAAAAGAGCTTTATTGTTTTAATTAGTTTTTATAATTAAAAATATCACAATCCAAAACAAATAAACTGTTTTTACTCAATGTTAAGTGTCAAATTTGAGAGATTAATGCAATTAACTAATGCAGAACCTAAGACTGATGCACCCATTGCACCTATTTAATTTCCACTTTTAAAATATTGAAGAAAAAATATATCATTAAATAGTTAATTAGAAGGAAAAAATGAAGAAAAAATATGAAATAATAAGATTAATTAATAATAAATGCAAAATTTTAAAATAAATGATGAGCTTAATTAACAAAGAAAAAACAAAAAAAAGCAAGCACGATAAAAAGAAAAACAAAAAAGAGCTTTATTGTTTTTAATTAGTTTTTATAATTAAAAATATCACAATCCAAAACTAATAAACTGTTTTTACTCAATATTAAGTGTCAAATTTGAGAGATTAATGCAATTTGCTAAACCAGAACCTAAGCCTGATGCACCCATTGCACCAATTTAATTTTTACTTTTTAAATATTGAAGAAAAAATATATCATTAAATAGTTAATTAGAAAGAAAAAATGAAGAAAAAATATGAAATAATAAGGTTAATTAATTACAAATGCAAAATTTTAAAATAAATGATGAGCTTAATTAACAAAGAAAAAACAAAAAAAAGCAAGCACGATAAAAAGAAAAACAAAAAAGAGCTTTATTGTTTTTAATTAGTTTTTATAATTAAAAATATCACAATCCAAAACAAATAAACTGTTTTTACCTAAGATCAAAACAAAAGCAAGAAAAATGAAATTTTATATGAAGCTAACAATTCTTTGTATTTAAAATACATCAAATAAATAAATAATAAAAAAATATATATATAAAACTATTATAAAATATTATCCTTAAGATGTATTCTGAGTGCATTTATATGTGCGAGTATTTCTATTCTATTCTATTCTATCACCAATTTAATTTTCACTTTTTAAATATTGAAGAAAAAATATATCATTAAATAGTTAATTAGAAGGAAAAAATGAAGAAAAAATATGAAATAATAAGGTTAATTAATAATAAAAGCAAATGTTTAAAATAAATGATGAGCTTAATTAACAAAGAAAAAACAAAAAAAAGCAAGCACGATAAAAAGAAAAACAAAAAAGGCCTTTATTGTTTTTAATTAGTTTTTATAATTAAAAATATCACAATCCAAAACTAATAAACTGTTTTTACTCAATATTAAGTGTCAAATTTGAGAGATTAATGCAATTTACTAAAGCAGAACCTAAGCCTGATGCACCTTCATCACCAATTTGATTCCAACTTTTAAAATATTGAAGAAATAATATATCATTAAATAGTTAATTAGAAGGAAAAAATGAAGAAAAAATATGAAATAATAAGATTAATTAATAATAAAAGCAAATGTTTAAAATAAATGAAGAGCTTAATTAACAAAGAAAAAACAAAAAAAAGCAAGCACGATAAAAAGAAAAACAAAAAAGAGCTTTATTGTTTTTAATTAGTTTTTATAATTAAAAATATCACAATCCAAAACAAATAAACTGTTTTTACCAAAGATCAAGTGTCAAATTTGAGAGATTAATGCATTTTGCTAAAGCAGAACCTAAGCCTGATGCACCTTCATCACCAATTTAATTTTCACTTTTTAAATATTTAAGAAAAAATATATCATCAAATAGTTAATTAGAAGGAAAAATGAAGAAAAAATATGAAATAATAAGATTAATTAATAATAAATTAAATTAACAAAGAATCAAAAAATAAGAAATTATAATAAAAAGAAAAAGGAAAACAAATCAAATAAATTAAAAGAGCTTTAATGTTTTAAATTAACTTTTATAATTAAAAATATTACAATGCAAAACAAACAAACTGCTTTTATTAAGTGTAAGTTTTAATAGCAAAAAATGAAGAAAAAGTATCAAATAATAAAAAATGAATAATAAATAATTAATTAAAAATTGAAATGGAAATTAGGTTAAAATAGCTAAAAAATTTTGTTTTAATAAAAATCAATAAATAATGATGATAATTTCTTTTATAAAAATTATTTATTTAAATAAATTGAAAATTAAATGTACAAAAATTATTAATAATAATAAAAGTAATTTTTTTAATTAATTATACCTCAGATAAATATGGAGAACCTAATGAGATAAAAGTGAAGAATTTAAAAACTTTTTTTATTAATTAAAATAAATTTAAAGGATATTAATCAATAAATTAATAATTACTTCTTCTAATTCGTCGTAATATTTAATCTATTATTTCATTTATTTATTTTTTCAAAAATATTGAATAGCAATTTATGAAATTTGATAAATTAATTAATTATAAATGGATAAAAAGAACAAATAAATATAATAATTAATTATCAAATATAAATTTAAATATTTGGTTTTATGAAGAGATATCACAGAAAAATTAATTTAACATTCACTATTTAAACTTAATATTTGTATTTAAAAAATATACTTAAAAATATATATAGTAGGAATTAGAGATGGTCAGTTATTTATTTATTCCTATTTGAAAAAATTCTAGTAGTTAATGTTCTATAATTTTAATATTTTTTATTTGTTACAATATCACAATACCCCAACTATCGAATAATATATTTCTTATTTAAATACTATTCAATCTAATTTATGTGCATGTTTGTAGCTATTCTTAAATTAATCTATATCCTAAGAAGCATAAGAAAATTAACTATAATCACTTTATAAACATTTTTTTCCAAATTATTATTTTGGTTATTTTATTAAGCTTCTGTATTTTTTGCCATATTCATTCTTTACTTTTAATTTTTTTACTTATATCATATTTTTATTTCTTCCAAAATTCTTTTTTTTAATTTCTTCTTACTTAGTTAAAAAATTAATTAAAATTTTTAAAATCAATTTATGTTCAATTTTTTTTAAATGAAAATATTTTTTATTTGTAATTTAAGTAAATGATTTATCTAAGTTGAATAATTAAAAATATTTAATTGAAATTTTAGATATTTGAAATAAGATTACCTTTTAGTTAATTTATAAAAAACAGATTTTCAGGAGAATTTGATAAAAAATTAACTGTATAAATAGTGTAAAAGAAATTTTATTCAATTTAAAAGCTTGTTCACAAGTTAAATGTAGTAATATTGTTTACTAAAATAGCAAATAAATAATTAAATATTTTACTTTAATTTATAATTCTAACAAAAAATTATAAATCAATTTTTTTTAATTTAATGAAATTTTACTTAAATTATTTGTTTTTATTTAAATTTAAAACTATTTATTTCGTTTTATTTATTTTTTTAACTTAATAACTTGTGTTTTAATTCTATTTTATTTTTTCATAAAATAATTTCTATTGACAAGAAAAGTCATATATTGTTAAGCCTTTATAGCTCAGCTGGGAGAGCGTAAGACTGAAGATCTTACGGTCCTCGGTTCGATCCCGAGTGAAGGCATTTTTGTAATTTTTATGGTTTTTAATTAATTAAATAAAAAGCTAACATTTATAATGAAAATAAAAATTATTTGAAGTACTGATATAAGTTTTTAAATCATATTAGTAAATAACAATTATAATTACTGAAATACATTTAAAAAGACATAATTGAGTAGAAGATATTTTTGTAATTATGACTTTCAAATAACTAAAAAAGTTGAATAAAACTTAATCCATACTCACATAAAGGGAATTAATAATATCACCATCAAAAATGATTTATAAAAATGATATTTTTTAAAAATAACTAAAAATTAAAATTTATAAAATATATATTTTAAAATTATTTAAAATAGGCTTTAAAATAATATATAATATTGGTATAGTAAGTAACAATAGAAAAAAAATTTTGTAAAATTAAATTATAAAAAAAATTTTATTTGATTATTGATTTGAAATTTGGAAAAATAATTCAAAATATTTTTTTTATTATTTTTAAAAATAATTATTTCTAAAAAATAAAAAAATAATTTATTTTTCAATAAATTTTAGAAGAATTTAATATTTAATAGCTTTGAAAAATTCATTGTAATTAAAATGAAGGATCTAATGCAAATTAATTAATTATATTTTGAAATATCAAAAAATGAATGGATTGAATTTTTTGCTATTATTGAATGAGTTTTAAATATAATAAAAAACAAATAATTTAGTTTTGATCATCAATAAATAACAAGGTATTTATAAAAATAGGAATTAGTATATTGAAGCAATCTTTTTTAAGAAAAAAGCTGTATTTAGCACAAAGCAACTAAAAAGTAAAGGTAAAAGTTTAGTAAAATAACTAAAAAAGTTAAGAACCAGTCAATTAAATAATGAGTGTCAAGTAAACTAAGAAATAAATTGCTAACCTAGTTGTAGACTGTAGCATGAAGTACGTCAGTGTGATGAAATTTTTTGATCTCATGAAGATCTAACAATAAGACTATGCAGATTTTACATATGCAGGAAATGGAGCATTTGCATTTGTGCTTAAAGCAAATAACAAAAAAATAAACTAAATTGTAGCTCTCAAAGTCGTTGAATGCGATAGTAATAATATAGCCTTAATGGAGTAAGTGTAGAAAGAATATGAACTGCTCCAATAACTATCTAGTAAGTACATCGTTAAGGTATTTAATAGTTTCTTTTTAACAGTAGAAGATAACTCTGATGATGATGAAAGCAATGATGAGGAGGAAAAAACTGCTGAAAGTAAAATTAAAAAGGAGAAAAATGAGAGAAAGATTTTCTTTGTAATAGAACAAGAATTCTGCTAAAGTAATATTTTCCCAACATTTTTATTTACAAAGATTTACGTAATGCTTTTGAAGTAGATTCAAAAATTTTATATAAGGTTTGACTTTACTACTTTTTACTGAGTTTGATAAGACTTTATCTGATGATTTTCTATTGAATTTTGGCATACTAATTAAATTGAATATACAAAAATAAGATTTATTTAATTTATAAGAATTTTGTTGAATTTTCGAAAATAAATAAATCATGCTTTTTTTCACAATCTTATTTCGCCATTTTCAAGAAGTGAAATTAAATCAACTCATTTCTTAATTAAATTTTTCTTTTGGTATTTGAAAATTAATTAAATAGAAAAAATAAAAGAAATTGCATTCATTTGAATGAATAGATTTTGAAATTAACAAATAATCCATTTATTTATTTGTTTTTCATTTATTTACTTATTTCGCAATTTTTAATAAGTGAATTCCCCTTAAAAATTAAGTAATATTTTTCATTCATTTTTTTTAATTTTCCTTTCATTTTTAATTTTCATTTAGATTAACATAGAGATATATTAATTGAATTCATTAAGTATTAATTTTTTATATTATTTAATGAAATTTTTTTTTAAATAAAAAATAATAAACAAGCTAATCAAACTGCTTTGAGTAAACCACCCATTTTCATTTTTTAATAAACCTAGTATTTTTGAATAAAAGATATTAATTTTTAAATAAAATATAAAAAGTGATAAATAAAAAGAGACTTTATTGTTTTTTAAAAGAACTACTTATTAAACTAAAAAATTTAATACATTCCTAAAAAACTCTATTAATTTGCAATTAAGGATTAAAATTTTTGTTAAAATACCAAAATAAGTCATGTTTTTTTAGGTAAAAATTTTACCTGATAATAAAATAGAATCAAAAAATCTGAAATTCTTATTTACAAAAATATTATTTGCATTTTTTTTATAAATACAAATCGCTCAAATTATAGAAAATTATGATGAATTCTTTGTTCTTTACCTTCTTAAAGTAGTTGGATTTTTAAAATCTTATTATTAAAGCATATTTAACTTATTAATTAAAATAGAAATATTTAGAAAAACAAAAGCAAACCATTTTAAATATGAAAGTATATTTATCTTAAATCACTCAAAATTAAAGCAAAATTTTATTAAATAAACTTAAAAAATAAATAACTAAAATACACTTTGAGTGCTATTTTAACGCATAATAAAGATAAAATGTTTGCTTTTAAACAAAATAGAGTAGATTTTAGAATAAACTGATAAAAAAATATTATTTTAAACACAATTAAGGTTTAGGCAGTTCGAAATTTTTATTTAAATTTGTAAAACTTTAATTTTTAAATTTAAAAAACAGATATTTTCAAAACAATTTTAAAATAAAAGTATTCTTTCAGATTATACTCAAAGAAATTCTTTACAATTCTTTTAACATAAATTAAATTCAAAATTTTCCATTTTAGATTTATCTAAAATTAAAAAAACAATGTTTATTTCATAATACAGCCATAAATTTTAGATTATGTAAAGAAATTTTGTAAAACTAAAATTAGAAGTAAAACAAATAAAAATAGCTTAGATAGATGTTAGATATATAATTAAAAGAATTATTCTTTAAATTTATCTTTAATTGCTTATAAAATACCTTTTTACATAATTTAAGAATGAAAGTCTTTTGAGTAAATCCATATTTTTTGAAATAAAAATTCAAATCAAAAGAAAAATAATTGATTTCATATAAATTTTTACTTTAAGTTAAATACTAATTAGTATCGATAGCTGTTTATTCCAATTTTGGAATAATTGAAAAAGATGTCATATTTTTATCTACTTTGATTGACATCTAAGAATTAAAAAATATTGGATAAAATATAAATTTTAGAAGAAAAATTATTTTGGCTTAAATCAGAAGCTGGTAAAGATGAACGAACAAGTTTTGGTTTTATTTTACAATTTGCATTTATATAAGTTGAAATAAATATTAGTTAGCATACTAAATTAATTATTTTTTAGTAATAATATTTATATTTCAACTTATTTCTATTCTTTTAAGTAGATAAAAAATAAATGTTCTTTGAAATAATAAATTTAGTTTAGTATAAAATATTTTTTAATTTTTTATATAAAAAAAAAATATAAGTTAGTTCAAAATATATTTTATTTTTATAAATGATTGAATAAACAATAATTTAAAGTTTTTAGATAGAAATAGTTAATTAAAAAAATATTTTTTTAATTATTATCTAAATTTAGAAAACCTTGAAACTTACATCTAAGAATACAGATAAAAGAACCTTGAACTATCAAATCAAGAAAAAGAAATCATGGTTATCTAAATGCTAGATTCTGTAGCTTATCTACATAGATTTGATATTGTTCATAGAGATATTAAACCTTCAAACTTTTTGCTTTCTTTTGATTAGGACGGACTTCCAATAATCAAAATATGTATTTTTTTTATAATTAAAAATTTCTTTCTAATTTAAATTTTTACTATTAAATTCTAATAAAATAAATCAAAAATAAATCAAAAAGTATGTTTATCTCATCCAAAAAGAATTTTCTAAAAAATTTTTCAAAGCCTAGGGTAAATAAGCTAATTTTAAAAACGATATAAAAAATAATTAATTAAAATATTTAATTATTTTAAAAAATTTAAATCCTATATCCTATTTTAATTATCCTAGGCAATTTATAAAATATTAGGTTTCACTTATGATTTGTGATTTGGTTGACAATTTTTTTAATTGATATTCATAAATCTATTTTAATGCTATTTTAAACACATTTTTAAATGTTTAAAAAGTATAAAACTTTTTATTTACAATTTTTCTTAGATAACTATCATATTTAATATGACCAAAGTATATAAGTAATTAAATGATAAAAAATAAATATTCAAAATTAAAAGATAAAGTAAAATGTAATTCAATAAAAATATAATTTAAAATCCTTAAATTTTAATTAAATCAAGGATAAACAAATACTTTAATAAAATATAAAATTATAATTTTATTCAATTATTCTAAAAACCAATTATAAGCAATAAAAAAATAAATAATTAACACATTTAATTAAAATAACTATAGGCGATCTAGCTTTTGCTTCACCTCTCAAGTATAATAAATCAAAAATCACTTTCTCTTAATTAGTAAATTATTTATTCTTTTAATCAAATTAGTTAATATTTATTTTTATCTTCTAGAAAGGAACCGAGGTTTATTTTGCACCAGAAATTGAAAAAAGAATACAGAAAAAAGAGGTAACCTTAATAATTATTTTAAAATAAAAGTTTTTTTCAAATTTTTTTTACTCTAAATATTTAGTCTGATGTTTTCTCACTAGGAATTGTTTTTCTGGAATTAGATAACATAAATACATTCGATATTTGTGGTACTACAAACGAGGACAAACTTAAAATTAAAGATGGAAATATCTTCTCAAACTATTAAATTAATAGGTAATCTTCAATTTACAAGATAGCGCAACAGTGCTTAAATTACTACATAGATAATCGTAAATCTGCGATTTAATTGTTAATTGAATTTATACGTTAGAACTAGCAATATATAAACATTACTCTCTATTCTGTGATTAATAAAGTAATTAAATAAATATATTAACTTATTTATTTTTTAATCCTTTATTAAATAACTTTTTAGTCACAATTAAAGTAAGAATCAGAGCAAATAAGTTAAATTGAAAAAGGTTCTATAGAATAATAGTAAAAAAAATAAAGCTAGATCTAAGAAATTTCCTAATATAGCAATGTAAATAAATTAATAATTATACTAATTCAATTAAAACTTTTTTTAAAACTAGAAATTACTTATTTATTTTTTAATTCTTTATTAAATAACTTTTAGTCACAATTAAAGTAAGAATCAAAGCAAATAAGTGAAATTCAAAAAATTTCAATCGAATACTAGTAAAAAAAATAAAACCAGATTTAAGAACTTTTCTAATTTGGCAATGTAATTAATTAATTATATTAATTCAATTAAAACTTTTTTAAAATTAGAAATAAATTTATTAACTTACTTATTTTTTAATTATTTTATTAAATAACTTTTAGTCACAATTAAAGTAGGAATCAGAGCAAATAAGTTAAATTCAAACAAATTCTATCCAAAAATTGTAAAAAAAATAAGGCTAGATATAAGAACTCTCCTAATATGACAATGTAAATAATTAATAATTTTATTAATTCAATTAAAACTTTTTTAGAAATAGAAATAGAAATAAATTTATTTATTTTTTAATTCTTTATTAAATAACTTTTAGTCCCAATTAAAGTAGGAATCAGAGCAAATAAGTTAAATTCAAAAAAGTTCTATCGAATACTAATAAAAAAAATAAAGCTAGATCTAAGAACTCTCCAAATATGGCAATGTAAATAATTAATAATTTTATTAATTCAATTAAAACTATTTTTAGAACTAGTAACATCTTGAAAAGCTAATGAAGGTGTTTAATTAGTTAAAATATAAACCCATCAAGGCAGATGAATATGAAACAATTCTAAAGATACTCTAAAATAATCCTAAGTATGAAAGTGAATTAGAATTTATTTCATTTGGTGGAAAAGGTTTGGTTATGGGAGCTTTCAACAAATCTCAGGGAAGAAAAGTAGCATTGAAAATTCAGAAACTTTAATCTAAGCATGAAGTTGTTCGAGAAGTTGGAATCATGAGAGACTGTTAAATGCCTCTTGTGATTAAATTTTATGACTTTTTCTATATGTCTGTAAATAGCAAAGATGATTTTGTTGTTTTTGAATTAGAAAAGTGTACAGGTAATCTTTTATTTTTAAAATTAATATTTATTTAAATATTTTATTTGCAATTATTTACAAGGTAACTTAAAGCAATACTTAGAGAGACTTAAGGAAAAAGAGATCTTATTGAGTGAAAGCTAGAAGATGAAGATTGCTGTTTAAATTATTGATGTTATCAACTATCTTAATTGTATTTAGATTGTTCATGGAGACATCAAGTTAGATAATATTCTTTACATTGATAATATGTAGGATGTTCCCACTATTAAACTAGGTAAATATATATCTATTTCAGAAAAAAAAAGATTTAATATATTATTTATAAAATAGCTGATTTTGATCAATCTAGAAAATTACCTTGCGGATTTATAGGTGTTTTAGATAAAAAACAAGTTTTTGATTACACTCCCGCTTAAGGAATTGTAATATTATTCAAGATTGAAAATATATTAAATAATAATTTTAAAAAGTATGGAACCATAGGATATAATTCACCTGAATTTTTTGATAAATAATAATATACATTAGAGGTAAATTAATTTTATTATTTAAATTAAAATTGATTTTTAATTTATTAAAAGTGCGAAATATTCTCAGTTGGAGTTTGCCTTGCTCTTCTAGATAATTTTGAGAAACTAGAACCTGTTATTTTGAAAAAAGCCCTTGATCATTAGAATGGATTCTAAATTCCCTTTGAACCAAGTATCAACTTCAAAGACGAAGTTATTAATAGACAAGGTTAGATTTATGAAATCATATTTTAAACAGTCGTCTTTAAACCACAATAAAGAAAGTCTTTATCTTAAATTCTCTTAAATTTGGAAAAACAAGGATACTCTTATTACTCTTAAATACATTATTCAACTTAATCTGTATTTTTTTTGCTTTTATTTTAAAATATGTTTTTTTTATTTAACTATTTTATTTAAATAGGCACTAAAAAACTTGAAAAATTGCAAAATACTCACTCTAGATTATTGGTATACCTTTTTATATTAATTTATTTATCACTATTCTGTTAAATAATATAAGACGAATTAGATTAATATTTTTTCATCTGATTAGTTAAATTCAATTTTTTGTAGAAAATAACATTTTTTTTTTAAAAAAAAAATAAATAAATAAACACATAAAAATACATGAAAAAAAAATATATACAAGGGTTACTTTATTTGAAACATTTGTATAATTGAATTTATTAAATTTATTATTATTTTATTATTTTTTACACATTTTCTCAATTTATAGTTTAAATAAATCATTAAAGAAATGAAGAATTAAACAATATTTATTTAATTAAGTGTTTTTGTTAATTTTAATTAGTAGCAACAACTTAGGTTCAGATGGGGCGAAAGCAATTGCTTCTGAAATAGCTAAATGGACTAATCTCTCCACTTTAAGCCTCGACCTTGAGTAATTTTTTACACATTATCTCAATTTATAGTTTAATAATTAAACAAATCAAAGAATTAAACAATATTTAATTAATTAAGAGTTTTTGTTAATATTAATTAGGTCAAATAATATAGGTTCAGTTGGGGCGAAAGAAGTTGCTTCTGAAATAGCTAAATGTACTAATCTCTCCACTTTAAGTCTTTCGCTATAGTAATTTTTTACACATTTTCTCAATTTATAGTTTAAATAATAAAACAAATCAAAGAATTAAATAATATTTAATTAATTAAGCATTTTTGTTAACTTTAATTAGGTCGAATAATATAGGTTCAGATGGGGCGGAAGCAGTTGTTTCTAAAATAGCTAAATGTACTAATCTTTCCACTTTAAGTCTCAACCTTGAGTAATTTTTACACATTTTCTCAATTTATAGTTTAAATATATCATTAAAGAAATCAAAGAATTAAACAATATTTATTTAATTAAGCATTTTTGTTAATTTTAATTAGTGAAAACAACTTAGGTTCAAATGGGACGAAAGCAGTTGCTTCAGAAATAGCTAAATGTACTAATCTCTCCACTTTAAGCCTCAACCTTGAGTTATTTTTTACACATTTTCTCAATTTATAGTTTAAATAAATAATTAAAGAAATCAATGAATTAAACAATATTTAATTAATTAAGCATTTTTATTAATTTTTATTAGTCGCAACAACTTAGGTTCAAATGGGACGAAAGCAGTTGCTTCAGAAATAGCTAAATGTACTAATCTCTCCACTTTAAGTCTTTCGCTATAGTAATTTTTTACACATTTTCTCAATTTATAGTTTAAATAAATCATTAAAGAAATCAAATAATGAAATAATATTTAATTAATTAAGCTTTTTTGTTAATTTTAATTAGTCTCAACAACTTAGGTTCAGGTGGGGCGAAAGCAATTGCTTCTGAAATAGCTAAATGGACTAATCTCTCCACTTTAAGCCTCGACCTTGAGTAATTTTTTAGACATTTTCTCAATTTATAGTTTAAATAAATATATTAAAAAAATGAAAGAATTACATAATATTTACTTAATTAAGCATTTTTGTAAATTTTAATTAGGTGGAATAATATAGGTTCAGATGGGGCGAAAGAAGTTGCTTCCGAAATAGCTAAATGTACTAATCTCTCCACTCTAAACCTCAACTTTGAGTAATTTTTTACGCATCTTCTCAATTTATAGTTTAAATAAATAATTAAATAATAATATTTAATTAATTAAGCATTTTTGTTAATTTTAATTAGGTCGAATAATGTAGGTTCAGATGGGGCGAAAGAAGTTGCTTCCGAAATAGCTAAATGTACTAATCTCTCCACTTTAAGCCTCAACCTTGAGTAATTTTTTACACATTTTCTCAATTTAAGACTTAAATAATTAAACAAATCAAAGAATTAAACAATATTTAATTATAATTAAACATTTTTGTTAATTTTAATTAGTGTCAACAACTTAGGTTCAGATGGGGCGAAAGAAGTTGCTTCCGAAATAGCTAAATGTACTAATCTCTCTACTTTAAACCTCAACCTTAGGTAATTTTTTTTTCAATTTATAGTTTAAATAAATCTTTAAAAAAATCAAAGAATTAAACAAAATTTAATTAATTAAACCTTTTTGAAAATTTAAATTAGGTGGAATAATATAGGTTAAGATGAGGCGAAAGTAGTTGCTTCTGAAATGGCTAAATGGACTAATCTCTCCACTTTAAGTCTCAACCTTGAGTAATTTTTTACACATTTTTTCAATTTATAGTTTAAATAAATCATTAAAGAAATCAAAGAATAACAAATTATATTTAATTAATAAAGTATTTTTGTTAATTTTAATTAGTCTCAACAACTTAGGTTCAGGTGGGGCGAAAGTATTTGCTTCCGAAATAGCTAAATGTACTAATCTCTCCACTTTAAGCCTCGACCTTGAGTAATTTTTTACACATTTTCTGTATTAAGAGTTTAAATAAATCATTAAAGAAATCAAAGAATTAAACAATATTTAATTAATTAATCATTTTTGTTAATTTTAATTAGGTCGAATAATATAGGTTCAGATGGGGCGAAAGAAGTTGCTTCCGAAATAGCTAAATGTACTAATCTCTCCACTTTAAGCCTTGACCTTGAGTAATTTTTTACACATTTTCTCAATTTATAGTTTAAATAAATAATTAAACAAATCAAAAAAATTAAACAATGTTTAATTAATTAAGCATTTTTGTTAATTTTAATTAGGTCGAATAATATAGGTTCAGTTGGGGCGAAAGAAGTTGCTTCTGAAATAGCTAAATGTACTAATCTCTCCACTTTAAGCCTCGACCTTGAGTAATTTTTTACGCATTTTCTCTATTAAGAGTTTAAATATATCATTAAAGAAATCAAAGAATTAAACAATATTTAATTAATTGAGCATTTTTGCTAATTTTAATTAGTCTCAACAACTTAGATTCAGATGGGGCGAAATTAGTTGCTTCCGAAATAGCTAAATGTACTAATCTCTCCACTTTAAGTCTCAAACTTGGGTAATTTTTCACACATTTTCTCAATTTATAGTTTAAATATATAATTAAAGAAATCAAAGAATTAAACATTATTTAATTAATTAATCCTTTTTGTTAATTTTAATTAGATAAAAAAAGCGAAAATTATGTTCGATTTTTTGAAGGCAATTGATTTTAAAATAGATTAATTAAAAATATATTTAACCTAAAAATTAATTGAAGGAATTTTCGATTTTGATAATTATAAAATATTATTAGTAAAATTAAAAATAAAAAGATAGAAAAGTTGTATGGATAATTTTTCATGAGTCTATTAGATAAGAGCATTTAATTAAATTAAATAATAAAATATATTCATACGTTTATAGACACCAAGTATATACTTAATAATTATATATTTTATGATTTTTATATTATTTAATAAAGCTTCAATTTTCATTTCTTAGAAAATATTTGATTTTTAATGATAATACATCTTCTTATATCATTAATTAACTTTTTATATAAATTCTTATCTGTTTTATGTCACTATGCTGAAGTTAAATGTTACATTTTGACTAGATAGCTTATCTAAACAATGGCAACATTAATTTATAAACTCCTTTTCCACATTTCAGAATCATTTAGTCTTAATAGCAAAGCTATAGGTAACTTTGTTGCAGATAATAGAGATTTAATTACTTTAGCTTATTGGCATAAAATTATTTCATTAAAATCAATAAATTCTCCATCAATTTGGGGTGATTAACCATAATATCGTCCCAGTGATAATGGAGAATAGTTATCCTTACATTCTTCTAATAGTTATGTGACTATCTTATTATCTTCTCTACATACGGGTGAATCAAAATTTATTCAACAAAGGGAAAAGCATCTCTGGAAATTTTGGTCATGAGTTAGACCTTTTTAAGGTAATAATTGGGCTATTAATAATCTTACTTGTATAGCCTTTTTCTTTAATTCTTTATTGACTACTGGCTCTATGCAGGATGCAGGGTGAGATTGAAAATTTCACAATTGCACATCTCAAAATGCTTTTTTACCTAATTAGGTGGAACCTAATATATTAGTCTATGAGATTCTTATGAGAAGGCTCCGCTACTCTTTTTTTCTTGTTAGATACATGAGTCCACCTATAAGTAGAGTTAAATGCCTTTTTAATTTTGGATAGGCTATACTAATAAATATTTAATTAAAAGAAATTTAGACAAATGTTTAGCTTAAAAAAAAAAAATTAGATTAAATTTTGAAAATCTTTGTTAAATGTTTATTATATTAAAATATACAATTTAGTTCTAAAAGTTATATTAAATTTTATTTACTATATTATATAAATAGACTAAAATAATTTTCATTTTTTTAAATAACAAAAAGAAAATTAAAATTACCTCACTTTTAACTAAAAATAAAAATTTAAATTTATTTAGATTGTTTTATTTATTTTTAATTAATAGCCCTATGAAAAATAATTTTATATATTTTATAGAAAAATAAAAAATTAGCAAGATTTAGTTTATAATTTAGTTGTTTCAAATTAAATTTTTTTAAATTACAAAAATTTATTAAATCAGAAATAATCAAAAAGAAGACTTTAATTAATTTTTTATAAATTTAATTTTCAAATGATTTTGATACAAAATTGATCAGAAATGCAGAAAATTACTAAATGAATAATTTACACGATTAATTACTTGAAAATATTAAAGTAATACGAAGGAAAATAAAGGGATATACAGAAATAATAAATAGAGCAAATAATAATAATGATAAGGATAATAGATGTTTTTAACTTTAAATTTCATTTTTAAACTTAATTATTATGTTCATTTATTCACATATTACTAGCAATAGCTTTCATTCCCAAGGTTGTCATATAGCTCTTTATTTTCTTCTAATGTTCTTTATTTTTATTATCATAAATAAAATTGTAAAAAATAAACTAATAGTAACAAATTATTCTTACCTCCTCTGCATTTGTAGAAACCACTGAAATTTACAGTATGAATGAAGAAACATACTAATGTTAAAATAAGCTATTTTTATAATGGAATAATTTTAGCTTTTTTATTTATTTGTTTATTTTTTTACCCAGAAGAAGCTTAAAGTAAAAAGTTCGTAGAGAGATACTAAAAGCCAAATAGCACAAATGGAAAATTATATGAACCAAAAGAATGTTGAGTCTATTTGATTTGGTTTCTATTTAAAATAATTTAATTATATCTTAATTTAAAAAGAAATAATAAATGAAAATTTATATTTACAATTCCTGGTTCTGTGGATTCAAAGACCCACTTTTCATCTCCATTATCATCTACACTGCATTACCATTTTAACAATACTAATTTCCTATTAATAAATATAAATAGAATAATTAATTAACTATCTATCTATCTAACTAACTAACTATAAAATCTATATTGTCAGACTATTTTAATATAAAAAACCACTAACAACTAAATAATATTTATTTATTTATTTGTTTTTTGTTTACCTTCCAGTAATGTTTTTAACAATCCAAAAATCAAAAGCAGTAAAGAGGATTGTAAAGACAAAGCAAATAGTATTGTGATCAGAGCCAATCAAGAAGAAGCTAAATTCATAAAAATTACAAAAATGTTAAAATCTTATCTCTAATGAATAATTTTTATTTTAAATTTGCTACAGTTGGAATGCTAGCTATTTACTTTCTTAATTACTAAATTTAAACAAATACTTCTAAAAATATTGAAGATCATTTATAATTTTATCGAATATATCTTATGCATCTTGCGTTATAAAAAAATGGCTTATACTATCTGTAAGACTTTGCAATTCCTTTGTATATTTAAATAAACAAATGCTTTTGTTACCATAAGAGAGAACTTAATTTTAATATAAAGTGAGTGACGCAAACTCCTGGATGACCTGCAGCTCTAATATCCAATGCATTTGCAGCTACTTTTTACTTTGGTGGTTCGGGTTGAGATTGAATGGAATTGGCCTAACTTCTACCTTCAGCAGAAGTAGGTTGTTAATTATTTGGAGCATATTCAGATCCATAAATCTGCTAATTTTTTTCTACATCATTTGAAGCGTTAAAATCTAAATTAATATTATCATTTTTAACTTAATTTTCATAATCCTAATCCTGAGGTAAATCTTCTGTATTCTAAATATAATGATTAAAAGAATAATTAACTTCATGCACGATCTATCAGCTTGTAATAATATAATAATTAATTAATTTTAGTTACCATCTTCGTTGGTTTTAGTGGCTAGCTAATATATTGGTTGATGGATTGTTTGATAGAGTATATATTTATTTATTTAATTGATTTAATCTAATTTGTTTATTTGATTATTAATTTATTTTTAGGATTTTACTTATGTTGTTAGCTATTTCTTAAAATTTGCAAAAATATAATAATTTATTTAATTACAATATATTCACTGTCTTAATATATTGTTTTTATTTATTAATTTATTTGTTTCTTTCTATTCACTCCTATTAACTCTTCTCATTCCTCTACTTCTATTACATTTTTTTCAATATATATCAATCTATATATTCTCCTCTTCCTCCTTTACGTTCTAATCCAACTTAGTATAAATTTTACTTACGACTATAATTTATTTGTCAAACAGTCTATGAATAAATATTAGTCAAAACCGAATCACATTATTCTAATATATAAAAATCATTCATTCAATTTACATTTACATTTCATCTAAACTTCAATTTTTTTTGAATTACTTGTTAAAAGATCAAAGAAATCATAATTACTTTTTTTACAGTTTTCACTAATAAAAGTAATTCAAATGAAATTATTTCAATATAGAATTTTGTTTCTTTTTTTTACATTAAATTAATCTTATAAATTAATTTCAAACAGATAAATCTTTTTTAAAAAATAGTTTTAATTGAGTAAATTGTAGAAATATTTTTAAATTAGTAAAAATGTTTACTGTTTTTGTTGATTATTATAACAATTTTTAATTTATTACTAGTAAACCAATAATACCATTATTGATAATAGTTAAATTCTTTTAAGTTTGATTGAATTATTAAACGAAATGAATTAACTTTCTATTTAATTATTGAATAAATATTTGATGAAATAAATAATTTAAAGAAAATATTTTTATTATAAATTTAAAAAGAAAGAAAGAAGAATATTTAATTTATTTTTAGAGTTTTATTAAATGCTAAATATTGGTTTATATTTTTTTTCACTTTAAGAAAATCTTAATTTCGCGGATATTATTTGATTGTTATTTAAATATCAAATATAAAGATAGCTAAGTAATATAGTAGGTAAAAATGACAGAAAAAGAAAATTATCACTACTTCGAGCAAAGCAATTTGGAAGAATTGATATCACTTTTAAAGTAGGAAAAGTAAGAAAAGCCATACATAGACGAGAAAGCAAGAACAGTAAACATTTTAATGCAAATATTAAATATAAGAATTAGTTTTATAGATCAACTTGATAGACAATTAATATTTATTTATTTATTTTGGTATTAAAATAATTTTAGATTTTAGTAGAGATAGGCAATCATTTTATCAACGATTTACTCAAAAAGGGAATTTCTATTTCCAAACATAAATGTAAATATTTCATATTTATTACTTATGAAATTTACTTAAACCATTATTAAAAGCTTAAAAACCTTCTGATAAAGATTCTAGCTAAGAAGAAGGTGCTGAATAAAAAAGTAATTTAATTTTAAGCAGGATTATTTTAATTGAGCAAATTAACATCATAAACGAATAGAATATCCTCCTGTCGAAGTTAACGATTTCAGAATTATTGCAGGTATTCTTTACTATTTTAGTATATCTAAAAAATTATTAATGCTCTTAAAATAAATAAATAATTAGAAACAAAATATAATACAAGGATTGATGGAGCAAACTAGCATATAGAAAGATAAATAGCATAAAATGATATAGATTATGTAAAAAGAGAATAAGAAAAAGTTCAATAACTGCATAAATGATATTTAATTTTTTTTACAATTTTATAATAAAAAACATGTTCATAAATATAAATATAAATATTAAGTATTTATTAATTCTTATATCAATATTTCTACATTAATATAGAAATCACTTAATTAATTGTTTATATTATAGAATTCAAATTATTTCAAGTAAAAATATTAAAAAAATCATTGTTTTTTTTTAATTTTATAATTCTTAATTTTGCCAATATTTGAATTGATTAATTAATATTTTTTATCAAAATCTCAAATTTTAAAATAGATTTTAATTAAAAACTTTTAATTATTTATTAATGTTGTCTTCAATTATTATTTAAACTATCAAATATTTTTAACCAAAATTTTAAATGACCATTAAATCATTTTAAACTTAAGTATAATGTCTTAAAAGTGCACATATTAATAATTCTTATAAATCATAAATTAATTGATTTGAAAATAATTATTTAGTAAAATTATCTTTCATAATAACTCTAAATTTATGCTTTAAAAAATAAATCTTACTAAAATATGTAGTATTATAACAAAAATATATTAATTTAAATCAACAATTTTTAATAGTTTTAAAAAATATATTAAATAATCCAAATAATTAATATTTTATAATTATATTGCCATTTGAAATCAGTATTTTAAGCATTTATTTATTTTGATCCTAAATTGCTAATTATAAACTAATAAATAAATATTCAAAAATAATTGCATAAAAATTAGCATAAATTAAATATTCTAATTGAATAATATAAAAATAGTATTGATAAAAAGAGATTGATTTACAATTCAATTTAGCATATTAGCTTAACTATTTATTAAAACTTTTATGTAAAATATCTCTTTTTATTGCATTAAATGAAACTATTTTTAGAAAGAATCCTAGAAATGCATAAACAACTTTATAGACATAGATAGTATCAAATTTATTTAATTATTATGTTATATTTTATTTTTATTTATTTGTTTGTTTTAATTTTTAAAATGGTGTTTATTTATTTATTTAATTTAGTGATAACTTTTGCAAAATATTTACAAATTTTTATCCATTTCTGTATTTAAATTTTAACTTATTGATATAAAGTCATTTAGTGACAGTGGATTCACTCTATTTTCAGCTGAGTAAAAGATTGTCCTTGCTTAAATTTTAATTTTTCATACTAAGATTTTATATTTACAAAATTATCTATGATAGAATATCTATTGCTCAAATAACTTCTTAGTTTGCTAATGGTATCAGACTAAGCCTTTCAGCACAAGATATAAATGTTAATAATTCTTTTTCGCAAGCATTCTATGGTACTTTATTTTTGGGTAATTTTTAATAGCTTTTTACACAGTTCAACATTACTTAACCTTAATCTTTGCACAATCTTTTAAAAACTGCTTATAAAATGCAAGCTTTTCTCTAAACGAGGCTATCCTCTTCATAACAATGCTATTTATTTAAAAATACAAATATATTAATATCATGATCATTCAGTCAATCAATCATATATCAATATTTAAATTTCATTTTGCTTTTAGAATTTAATTCATTACGCTTATATTTAAAAATACTTCCTATGTCTTTTTATTCTTAAGCAGTCTTTCTGCTTGCCATTCAGTCAACTCCAAGCATCTTTCAGCCTATAATTACAAGTTTTCAACTGCCCTTTCTTACATTTATTTATTTTAGTTTAGTTAATATGTAGAAATTACTAATATTTTTCTTTGGTAATAATTATAATTAATTCACATCTATCTAAGAAATCATCAAACCAATAAATAAATTAATAAAAAAACAAAGAAAACATACAAAAATATTTATTTGTTTGTTTATATCTAATATTGATATATATTAAATAAAAAAGAAAATTCTATGCACATATCTAATATCTTTGATCAGATTCCAATTCTACATTTAATGAACATAATTTAATTTATTAAAATAGAATATATTTTTATGAATCAATTTATTTAAATGAAATATATTTTAATAAATCAATTTTTTTAAAATCAAAATATTTATTTATTTGTTTTTTGTTTATATCTATCTGTTTATGATATATAATTTGTTGCAAAAATTCATACTCTAAAATTTTTTGTTAGAATAGTAAAATATATTAACAATTTAATATTTATAAATCATTCAAAAAATAAAAAAAGTACAAAATGTATATTGTAATTATTAAGAATAAGGATAGCTACAATTTATTCGATCATATCAAAATATTGAATGAGATATAAATTTTATTTTCACAAATAACTGAAGTAAATAAATTACATTATGTTAAATGCACTACAGTAAATTGCTTAAATTAATTAATTCAAAGAAATTTAAAAAAAATTAGTCAGTTATTTGAACATGATTGTTTTCAAAACCTAGTTTTTTCATAATCAATTTAATGTTATTTATATAACTTTAAAAAAAGAAAAAAGCTTTATTTTTCTTGGTTAGATGTGAAAATGAAAATTCTAATAGCACGTAATTAATTAATTGGTAAATTTTTAATGTTATTTTATATAATATTTATTCCTTTAGCATATTTTTTACTGTTATTCCTAAAATGAAACAGTTGAAAATTTAAAGACAATAAATTTATTTTGATTTTTATTTGGAGAATGCAAAAGAAAATTCCTATACTATTATTTCTTAAAAATGTTATTGTCAAGCTCATTAGCTTTTTTTTAGAAAAATTATTGATCAATTTTAATTTACTATATCATTATTCATTAAATAATAATAATAATAATAATTTCATCATCTATTTTTGCATTTACTATCATAAATCTTTATACAAAAATCACATAAAAACTATTTAACATAAAAAAATTGGTTTTCATCCAAAAAAATTGAAAAATATTTCTTCTAAATTTTTTATTTTTATTGCTTTTGTCTTATATTTGCATTGTTATTTATAAAATTTAATCAATTTTTTATCTATCTATCTTATCTTAAAACTTTAGAGTTTTTAATAATCTTTGAAAATAATTTTAAAGTTTCTTAAAATTTGTAATATCAAGAATTAATCAAACAACTTATAAAACTTGGTGTTTAATTGTTTATGAAAAATATTTATTGCTTTAAGTCTTTATAATTTATCATAAAAGTAATTTAAATTAAGAATTATAAAAAAAACTGTCTATAAAAATAATAATTAGTGAAAATATAATTAATAAATGTATGTTTGGTTGTTTGGTTGTTTGGTTGTTTATTTGTTTGTTTCGAAGGAATTTTAGAATGTTTTTATGTTATTTAATTTTTTTTAATGAAAAGTGATTTATTTCAAATATGTAATAAATTGATACAAATAGGCTTAAAAAATGTTTGTTAAATTAATGAAATCTCATAGACTTTTTGAAGAGTTTTCATTTAATTTATAATAAATTAATCATCAAAGGTAAATTGTGTTTGTAATAAAAAAAAATAAAATATAAATCACCAAAAATAAACAAGAGTGGAAGTAATTATTTATTTATTTATGTTTACGCATGTAGGAATTGAAAATATTATTTGTTTAAAAAAAAGAAAGACTTAGTGGAGAAGAGTTGTTAATTAAATTATAAGCTTAAATTAATATTAATTTTTTGCAATTTATCTATCTATCTATCAATCAAATAATGATTAGATTAAAATTTCAAAGAAATCAAATAAAAGCAATCTTTAAAAAAATAAATAGCGCATAGAAAAAAATTAAATCACAATGAAATATATTTTAATTGTGTTTTAACTTATCGTTTTTATATGTTATGTTTAGGCATAATGTGATCCAAATGCTAGTCAAGCGAATGGCGGTGCTTGCCAATGTAATTAGGGATATTATGGACAAGATGCTTCTTCTAATGGAAAATGCAATTAATGCCCAACAGGAAGTACTAGTTAACAAGGATAAGCTAATAGTGATGCTTCTTACTGTAATTAATGCTTGGTAAATTATTATATGGCAACTTAAGCAGTTTAGCCTACTAATGGTAATACTGCTGCTGCAGCATCCTGCCTTCCTTGCCCACAAGGAACAGGAAATCAAGCAGGTCCTACTGTTTAAGGTGATGTATCATAATGCACTATTTGTCTAATAAACTATTATATGACATAAGCTGCAGTACCAGCGAATAAAGCTAATTAAACTCCTGCATCAGCTGCAACATGCACTGCTTGTCCTACTGGTAGTGGAAATAAAAGTGGACCTACTATACCAGGTGACATTTCTTAATGCGATTATTGTTTAGATAATTATTTTATGACTTAAAATGCTTATGGTCCAAGCAATCTAGCTAATAACTAATTTGCATCTGCGGCTCAATGCAGTGCCTGTCCTGCAAATTCATACATCAAATCATCCAATTAAATAAGTTTCTGTAAGTGCTATGATATAAATGCTCTTCCTTTAACTCCTTCTAATATATAATGCACATGTAAGAGAGGATGGTAAGGAAAAGTTTCTGGTTCTAGCAGTGCCCCATCTGGATGCAGTTAATGTCCTCCTGGTTAATTTTCTATGAATGGATTTCCATGCAAACAATGTGGACCTGGTTCATACATAAATGATGACCAGGGAAGTTGTACTTGTTATGACACAAGTAATGGAACGAATCCTTGGAATTTTTCAACTAATGTCTGCTAATGCTAATTCAATTTTTATGGAGATCCTAGCAAAGCTACAAAAATTACTTCTGGATCATGCTCTCCTTGTCCAGATGGTACATCATCTCCTAATGGATCTGTTGCTTCCAGTTAATGCAAATCGAATTCATCCGATAATTCAAATTCAAATTAATAAGGCACATAAAGCTCAACTATTTTATATTTATCTCTAAGTTTGTTCTCCTTGTTCATATTGCTTTGAATGCAATAAATATTTCATCAATAATTTTCCAGTGAATCAATCAAAAAAAGAATGCTGCTTACTTACTAAATAGTCAACTAACTAAATAACTAATTATCTAAATAATATAATAAAATGTTTTTCTTAAGTAAACAAATAAATAAACAAGCAAGTAAACAAAATCAATTCTAATTTTTGAAGATCATAATCATTTTTTGAAATGCTTGATTAATAACTTTTATTAATTAAATAACTAGCTAAACAGCTAACAAAATAACTAACAAACTAACTAACTAACTAACTAATTATTTTATTTATTCCTTTGTTTGTTTGTTTGTTGTTTCTTATTTGTATTTATTTCTACTAAAAAACTGTCTGTATAAACCTCCTCTAAAATATCATTCATAAATTGTAAATTATTTATTGCTTAATGATTATACAATTAATTATGCAAATTCTAATATATTAATACATAATTTACCTAACTATTTGTAATTTAGCTAAATAATAACAGGAAACTTTATAAAAATAAAATTAAATAACTTTTTATTTTTCCATTCTATTAATATCCATTCTTTAAAAAGTTATTAAAAAAGAATCAATGTAAAAAGTAAGAAATTAATTAAGTCTGTCTTGGCTAATTTTAATAATAAATAAATAAATAACTGAATTTATCTTTAATTTTATACTAAATATTATACAATGAATCGTCTATATTATCATCTCCCTCCATTCATTTTTGGTATGTCTTAATAAATATTACTTAATTTTCCAAAATTTAATAAATTTATCTAAATACAAAAAGAATTACAGTATTTCATTTTACTTCATAAAGGAAAATATTTTTTAAAATGCTTATTGGTTTTATAAAAAAAATCAATTAATTGTTATAAAATTAATTACTAAAAAATATCTAAGAAAAACAAAACATTTAATATTTATTTGTATAAATCACTAAAAAATATTAAATTTATTTTAGAATTTTTAGATATTTTCTGTCACCATTTGCTAAGCTAAGACTACAATTTTAAAAATAAATTCCTATCAATAAATTATTGTTAAAATTTTATTTATTTGATTTGATTATTTAATTAAAAATATAATTTAAATTATAAAAATCTATTCTGATTTTGATTTTAATTTAAAAATTAAAATAACAAAAAAACAATTTTATATAATATTTGCATTTATTTTATTGATTAAGTAATATTTAATTTTTTTTATTTGAAGTGAGATTGAAATTAAGTTAAAAATTAATCTAATTTTAAACTCAAGTAAGTTTCTATCTATCTAGTCTTTAATACAAATTTTTAAAAATTAAATATCTTAAATAAGAAAATTCTTTTCCTAAGAATAAAAAAAATATTGTAATTTTTGAGGAATTTTTGTTAATTTTTGATTTTTTTAAAATGATTGCTTAATAAATTGACTTATATTTGCTTTCATTTTAATTTGTTGAAAGTTTTAGATATTTCATGCATTTTCTAAAAATAATGCTACAGAATAAGAAAAAAATTAATTAATTTATTCAATTAATTACTAACTTCTATTTTGAAAAATATCTACATTGAATGAAAAGCTGAATATTTAAATTATTATCGCTTAGCTTTTATCTTCTTATAAAAAAGGTTTTTTTATTTTTTCTAGAAATATTTTAAAATATAATAATCAATTTAATAATTTATTTATGATAAGAAATTTCCATTTAAAAACTAAACAAAATAATTTTAAATTATTTTCAAAAGTGTAATTTAGCAAAGAAAAATAGATTAAATTTAGTAAATAAAAAGAGTTTAAATTTAGAAATCTATTATTTAATTTTAATTTTAAATAAAAATTTAAATGGAAAATAATTATTATCAATCATTAAATTCTCAAAAATCATTTTTTTAGTCAATACATTTCAACTAGTAATATATTATTATTGAGACAGAATAAATAAAAATATTTGATTTTTATATATAGCATTTTTTGATCAATATAAATAAGCAAGTAAAGCTTGAAAATTATTTGCTTAACTTGTTGATTACTGTTTATTTCTTTTTCATACGAAGGGAAATACTTTTTACGATGATAAGATTTTTAATTACAAACGCGCTAGAATGATTTTTTGTTGATATACTTGATTTTCTTAAAGGAAAAAGATATTTTATTGTTTGCGTATCTATCTATCTATCAATAATAATATTGTAGTAGAAATAATAAATAATCATCATCAAATAAAGTTATAATAATCAGAAATTTAAATGTTCGCTAGTGTATTTATTTAATTTAATTTAATTTGATTTGATTTGATTTTCTTTTTGGATTTGAAAGAGAAATGTTAGTGAATAAATTTGAATTGTAGTAGTTTGAATTTGAAATTAATATTAATGTCTATCTAAATTAAATAGAATATTATAGAAAAGCCAGTGAATTCTAACTGTCAGTCACACGAATGATTAAAGTGATGGACAATCTAATTATAAAATTTAATATTAATTTTTAAATATTACGTCTAAAATCAACTTAAACTAGAAAATAACTTATAAATTTAACAAAAAAATTTAAATTCGATAATAAGCTGGCTGTCAAATCACAACAATATAAAATGCGAAAAATTTATATGCATGTGTTGAATTCTTCATTCAATTTAGATTGAAGAAAATTTTATTATAAATTTTAGGATATATTTTATAGTGTTAATAAACAAAAAAAATTTTGATTGAGGAGGTTTAAAATTTTTGTATGTAAATTTTCTTTCAAAAATAGCTATTTTGAATAAAAATATCAAATCTGATGAGAGAAAATCAATGACTTGATCAAGTTTCTTTGTTTATTTAATTTTATAAAGGCCTAATTAATTAATTTCTTTTATTTTGTATGAAAAAATTATGAATAAACAATAAGAAAGAAAAAAGAATAAAATAGAAATGATAAAGAATAAATGAATGAGATGAGGCTCAAACGAATAGTGTGATTTTTATTTGAAAGATATTGAAAAATGAATTGAAATATGAATAGAAAAAAAACACATAGATATTTATATATATATTGATACATAGATAAAGATGATAATACATAATTAAATGAATAAAGAGAGTTAATAATAGATAAGGAAATGGGAAGTTTTTATTGTTTCTTTATTAATTTATTTATTTATCTTTGATTATAGTCTGTTTAATTGTTTGTTAACTGCACATTTAAATTTTGATAAAGTTGCTGTGTTCAGATGAAAAAAAATTTAAAATTGAAAAAAATATTAAATATTTTGTTTTTCTTGAAAAAAGAAGATAACAAACAAACAAACAAAAATCAAAAGAAGAGAAAAGCGTAAGTATTAAATAAAGTAAAGAAAAAGGGATTGATTAATAAACTATCTCTGAAGATCTCAACTAATAAAGAAAACCACAAATACGCATAAGATAAAAACATAAAATTAGCAAGATGTCATCTGCATATAGAGAAGAAGCTATTCCATTTATTACTTATAATTCGGAGTAGAGAAGTACACTATTTATTTATCCTCATTTTTTCAACATTTTTAATCCTCCTTTCTTTATTTAGAGTATTAGCTTTGCGAAGAAGCTGTTTAAATTATCAAGCAAGTTCCCAAGCCAATTGGTATTGTATCAGTTGCTGGTGCCTACAGAACAGGTAAATCATACTTGTTGAATAGAATGATCCTCAACAGATCTGGCGGTTTTGGCGTCGGACCTACTGTAAATCCATGCACAAAGGTAAAAAATAAATAATTGCTTATTGATAAATTTTCTATCTACTTTGCTTATTTATTTAAACACAAAATTTGAATATAAATTATAAATAAATAGGGTATTTGGGTTTGGGGTACTCCTATCAAAGGACAAACTCCTGAAGGCGATCCCGTCAATGTTTTAATTATGGACTCTGAAGGTATCGGCTCTACCGATGAAGATTAAACTCACGACACAAGAGTTTTTTCATTAGCAATTTTGCTCGCTTCTAATTTCATTTACAACTCCATGGGTGCAATCGATGTAATACATAATTAATTAATTGCTTCTAATAACTAATCCTAGAAAAAGGCAAATTTAAATTAAGATGTAAATTTATGAATTAATAGGAAAACGCATTAAACAACCTTTCCCTTGTTGTCAATCTTACCAAGAACATTCACATCAAGTCCACTGATGGCGATGAACTTGATCAAGAAGGTATTTAAAATTAACAAATAAACACATATTGCTTGTTTGCTTTTTTGTTTGCTTTGATTGAGGAATATATAAAAAGTTAAATTGATTAGTCACAAATTCAAAAAAAGCAATGCAAATTAAGCAAAATAGTTAATTAAATATAGGCTTTATTAAAATATAAGAAAATTTATCAAAAATTTTAGAATTTGATTTAAATAAGATTTATTTGAATTCATCTATTGATTAAATCAGTGAATGAATGAATGAATGAATGAATAGTGACTTTCAGTTTAAAATAAAACAAAGCAAAACAAAATAAAACAACAACTGTATTCATTTTTAAATAATTAATTATCTTTTAATTAAATAAATAAATAGAATACTCTAAATACTTCCCTAGTTTCTTCTGGGTTATCAGAGATTTCTCTCTCTAATTAGTTGACACTGAAGGTGATCCCATCACTTCTAACGAATACTTAGAACGCGCTCTTTCAGGTAATAATTTAGACATTCTTTCATTACTCAAACAAACAAACAAATAAATAATTGAGATCAGCCAGCCATAAATTTAATTAAATAAAATATAAATTTATTTGAGAAGATTTATTCGAAATTAATTTCTATCTTAAAAAAATTTTTAATTCTACTATTTTAATTAACTTCTTTCTTCATTCTTAGAGATAGAAAATAATTTTTTGATAATTAGAATAAAAGGGCTATTCTGATGAAGTCGAATCTAAAAATAGAATCAGAAGACTCTTGAAGACATTTTTCTAACAAAGAGAATGCATGACTTTGGTTAGACCCTTGGTTAACGAATAAAATTTATAAAAGTTGGACAAGATGGAATTGGATGACTTGCGTCCTGAATTCTTTGAATAGGTCATTCAACTTAGAAAGAAAATTTTACAAAGAATTAAACCTAAGAATTTGAATGGAAAGTTATTAAATGGTGAAATGATCATGACTCTTTGTGATTCTTACGTCCGTGCCATCAATAACGGTGCTGTTCCTAACATCGAAAATGCTTGGACTTATGTCTGCAAAGATGAATGTTACAAGGCCTCTCAAAAAGCCTTTGAATCTTATGAAAAGACCATCAAAGAAATGATTGGATCTAAGATTCCAACCACCAACGATGAAATCAAGGTAATTTAAATTAAATTAAATCAAAGCAATTCATTTAATTTTATTCAAATCAAATCAAATTGAATAATTTATTTCTTTATTTTGTTGTTTGTTTTGAGATGAGTTTTAAAAATAATTCATTTGCTTTCAATTTAAATGAAGAAAATTTAAATTTTACTTGGGAAATTTGAATTAGCCATTTATTTATTTTGATCACCCAGTAAAATAAATACAAATGTTAAAATAGAAAAGAAAGAAAGAAAGTGAATTTCAAAAAGCTTACAACGAATTAAATTATTAAATAAATTTATTCTTCATTCATTCATTCAATTAATTAAATTATTAATTAATCTAATTAGATTGCTCACAGAACAGCTAAAGAAACTGCTTTGGAAATTTTCAAGAAGAGAGCTATTGGAGATGTCAGCAAGGAACACTTAGAAGAATTAAACAAGAAAATGAAGGCTAGAGTTCAATAAATCAGAGCTACCAATGAAAAGGAAAGCTATTAGGAGTGTTAGAACTTCATTAATAGGGAATTTGCCACCATTGATCGCAAGTTAAAGTCTAATCAATATAAAAGATTCTCTGATTTTGAAAGTGACATTAAGCTTTTCTACAGTTTCTTGGTTAATCATGGTCCAATTACTGTCAACAGAAACGTTATTTTCTTAGAATTCTTACAAAGAAGCATTAATGAAGCTGCCAACATTTTTGTTAAGAATCTTGAATAGGAAGTTGATATTCAAAGAGTAATTTATTTATTTATTTTTTGAGCTTAGAAAATAATTTTATGCTAAATTAAATTAATTTTTATTAGTCTTGCAACAGCGAAGTCCAAAGAAGAAACGAAACTGAATTGGTTGAATTGAGAAAGAAAACTGATAACGAAAGAGTTCTTTTGGAAAGAAAGGTTGAACAATTGCTTAAGGAAAAGGATAGCATTGCAACTGATAAGGTTAAAAACGAAAGAGCTGTTAAGGAAATCGAAGAAGAAAAACAAAAGATGGAAAAGGAATACAAGGAGCTCTTAAATTCTGAAAGAGTTGAATTAAATGATCAAATCAACAATTTGAGAAATAAGTCCAAGATCACTGAAGAGACTTTAAAGAAGGTTGAAAGAGAATTGCTCTTAAAAGAAAGCTCCTTCCAAAAGGAAAAGGCTCTCCTTGAACAAAGAGCTCAACACTTTGAAAAGCTCTGCGAAGAATATCTTGCCAAGGACAAGGCTACTGAAAACATGATGCAATCAACTCACAGTGGATTCAACACTTAAATGAAGGAATAACAAACCAAATATGAACGCATTATTAAGGAATTGGAAAACAAGCTCACTAACTTGAAGGAATCTAACTTCGAATTAAATGAAAAGATTTCCAACTAATCTTAAAACTTCAGCTAAGAAGTTGAAACCCTCCAAACTAGAGAACGTGGTTTACTCAGACAAATTGAAGAACTTCAAACTGAAATTTCTTCCACTAAGAAGTAACTCTCAGAAGCTAGCACCAATGGTCTTAAGAATTTGGGAGACTTGAAGGAGTAATTCAATAACGAAACCAATGACTTGAAGATTTAAAATACACAATTATAAGAAGAACTATCTAAGACTCTTGATAAGCACAAACAAGACGTCTCAGAACTTCGTAAACGTGAAGCTCTTCTCCAATAACAAATTGAATTCGTTCGTCACGAATTAGATGAATCCCGTAGCTAACTCGTTGAAGCTAAGAAGGCTCACGAATCTACTTTACAAGCTTTGGAAATCAACAATATGGGAGACGAAGAAAGCGGCCAAAAGCAAATCTTGGAATTGAAGGACACTCACATGAAGTAAATCAGAGCCATGGAAGCTGAAGCTCTTTCTTAAAAGAAGACTTTACAATCATAAATCGATGCTTTGAACAAGGAACTTAGCGACCTTGAATTGAAGTACAAGGTCTCCATTCATGACTATGAAACTGAAGTTAAAACTCTCAGCGACTAGTTAACTGAAAGCTAAGCTATCCGCACCCAATTATCTACTAAGCTCTCTGAATCTGAAGAAATGCTCAAGCTCAGCTCTAAAGACATGGAAAAGAAATTCATCCAAAAGATCCGTGAACTTGAAGACACCAATGAAGCCATCAAGGATAGATCTCAAAGCGAAATCCGTGAAAATCAAGCCAAATCCGAAGAATCCTTACAACAATTAAAGAACATGTTCGAAATTGAAAGAGAAACTTTGGAAAAGAGATTGATTGAAGAAAAGTAATTTTTTATCATCATTTTTAATTCATTTTTTAAATATATTTTATTTGTTTTTAAATTTAATTTAATTTTTTTAAATAGGGAAAAGAGAGAAAAGAGCTACAACTAAGTTGTTGAAGAATATGAATAGAAATTAAGAGAAGAACAAGCTGCCTTGGAAGAAGAAATCGAAAACTTGAGAGACGACATCAAGGACTACGAAATCTAAGTCATTAACATGCAAGGCTAATACGAACACGAATTAGACTTGAAGTAGAAGACTATTGAAAACTTGGAAAAGATGTTACAAGAAACCAAGGCTCAACTTTTAAGCAGCTAAGCTAGTTACTAATCTCAATTAGAATAACAAATGGCTTCTTATAATGCTGACAGAAAGGAATTACAACAAAAGTACGAAACTGTCTAGAAGAACTTACAATTAAGTGATAACAAGATCCTCACATTAACTCAAAAGCTTGAAAGCTCTGAAGCTAGCTATGAAAATAAGAAGAAGGAATTAGCTTAATTGAAACAAGACAACATTATCGAAAGATAAGCTCTTGAAGAAAAGCTTGAAGAAACTCGTAAGAAATATCAAGAATTATCTGATGAACACCTCCAAACAAAGATCAATTCTGAAAAATCTATTGCTCTCTCTTCTTAACAAAACGAATTCTACCAAAAGAAGGTTCAAGAATTACAAGTTGCTCTCGAATCTTCAACCCAAAGATTTGAAGAACGTCTCAAGACTTCTAAAGCTGAATGGGCCTAAGAAACTCTTGAAAAGATTCAAAATCTCCAAGATGAAAAGGTTAACTTGGAATCAAAGATCAACGCTTTGAAGAAATCTACTAAAGAATTCGAAACTCAATACTAAAAGAGAGTCACCGATTTAGAAAAGGAAAAGGCTATCTATGTCGAAAAACTCCAATACACTGAATCTAAGTTAAAAGAAACTGAAGATAAGTACATGATTGAAACTGAATAATTGAAGGATCAACTCTCCAAGGCTAAGGAATTCACATCAACTGAAAAGAAGATGCTCATTCAAGAAATTGAAAAGCTCAAATCATAGAACGTCTAACTTGATAATGAAAAGCATGAACTCAATACTTCTTATGAAAGAGATAAGGTTCTATGGGAAGGAAAGTTCAGCTTCCTCCAATAACAAAAGGAGCAAGCCAAACAAGATTTAATCGAAGCTCAAAAGAAATTCGAATAAACTCTTACTCACCTCTAAAAATAACGTCAAAACGAAAAGAACGAACGTGAACAAAGCGTTTCTGACATGCTCATGCAAATTGAAAGAAAATACCAAACTCAAATTTCTGAACTCCAAGAAACTTCCAACACCAAGCTCTCAGCTGCTAACCAAAAGATCACTAAGCTCGAAGCTGAACTCAAGAACAGCTTGGATCAAACCATGATGGAATCACGTCAAAAGAACTCCAATGCTATCTTCACCGAAAAGCGTCTTGCTGAACTTTTAGAAAGCGAAAAGAAGCTTTCTTCTGAACTCGATATTATTCGTAAGGAACGTGAAGCTGAAAAGACCGAAGCCCAAAGAAAGCTCGACCAAGAAAGAGAAACTCTTAAGACTAAGATGCTTCAAATTGAAGAAAAGGTAAATAAAAATAAATTAAAAAAAATCATTTATTTAAATAAATTCAAATTAATAAATTAATAGTTCAGAGAAGCTGAAAAGAAGAGAAACACTTTAATCTTCGAACATGAAAAGGAAAGAGCTAAGTGGAATTTAGAAAAGGATCACTTACTCAATCAAAAGAATGAGCTCCAAGAAAACTTGAACAAGATCGAAAAGAAGAAAGAAATCCTTTTGAGAGAAAACGAACGTCTTAAAAACGATTCTCGTCAATCAAGGAGGTAATTTGAAAGATTATCTGATTAAAATTCTAATATTTTCTTGACATAAAATAGATAAATGATGAACGCCAACTAACCTAGTTTCTTGAACATGAGCAGAAACATGGGCAGTGAAAGAAAGAGTCCCATGAGAAGTGCTAGATCCAGAGAAAGAAGCAGTTTGAACGACTACAGTTATGCCAACAATAGCGTTGACTGTGGTGAAGACAATGGCTCCTCTGACAACAACACCAACAATATTTTGGAAAATCTTAACTTGAACTCCTCTCGCGAAAACCAACCTATCTAAAACACTCCCCCAGCTAACGGATTCAAGAGCTTCATGCAAGTTTTATAAGAAAAGAGTGGACTCAACAATGAAAATAAGCCACCTGTATCCCCCTCTAAAAAGGAAAACGTCCTCATATGAGAACCAAACAAAATAGCTGATTGATAAACACAAAACAACACCAAAATTATCAATCTAACAATTAATTAAATAAAATATCTCTAACAAATTTGAATGAAGTCTGGCATGCTAAAAAGTTAAAAATATTCTGCTGTTGTTTAGCTAAATATGTTTTTTTCATATCTAGATAAATCCAATAGCGATTTGTGCATAGTTTAACCTACTTAGCTGCTAATGCAACAATGGAAACTCATTCACTAATTAAAAAAATATCAATCTTTCTATCTATCTATAATAATCTCAACTAATCACAAAAATCACCATCAGCAACTTATTAATTAATTAACTAGCAACTAATTAAAAAAATAAATATATTCATACATACATTCATTCATTAATTGATTTTAGAATTAAAAAAATAATTCACTTTGTCCTGTTATATTTCTATATTATTAAAGTTATTGTATTTTCTAAACCTTTTTAATCCCTTAAAATTCAACTCTTTCAATTATTTTAAAGTCCTCCTTAATAATATTCATTTTTTTAAAAAAAAACTCAATATAAATTTTATAGGAGCTAATTTAATTAAAACTCAATCTAAATCACTAAAAATGCATCAAAATTGCTTAGAATCTCAAACTAAAAAACTCAGTTAATATACATACTTAAAATAGATATTGTCAGATTATGCTGACCTTTACATATTATTATTATTATTATTTTTCAGTTAAATAATTTTTATTAATTTATTTAATATTTTTCAAAATAGCTTTTCTAAGATAAAGATACAATTTTTGTCAGATTGGATAAACCATATATTTATTTAACTTTTTTGAAGAAATCTCTCTCTATATTATCACCATTCTGTTTAATGCTAGATAAATTAAAATTGACTTTTTTGTAAAATAAAAAATAAAGAGAGCAGAAGCTCGAATTTAAATTGTGTGAAGTAAAAACAAATATTATAATTTTATGATAATTTTCTTATTATAAATAAAATAATATCTTTTAATAAGTATTTAAAATAATTAAATTTCTTCAAAATATTAAAAATATTAAAAGGATTCATTTTTATTTTATTGAAAATGTAAAAATAATAAATAATAAACAGATTAAAGATAGATGAAATATTTTTCTATAATTAGAAAATTCTAATACTAAATGTTATTTAAAATTAAAAGACTTTTAAATAATAAAAACTAAGATTTATAATTGAGAAATAAGTAAAAATAATTATTAATTTTTATGTTATAACTTATCTTTCTCTAATCAAAAAAATTAACTTAAATGAAAATAATTTAAAATATTAAGTGAATATTTTAGTTTTATTAGAAATGAAAAACAAATTTTATTGATTGGTAATTATTTTTAAACGGATCAAACAGTTCTTTTTTCAAGTAGATATAAATATAGATAAGAGGCTATTACAAAATTTTATAAATGAATGAATTAAGCAATTTATACAATTTTGTTTTAATTTTCAAAAATTATGCATTTAAAAAAAAGAAATTAAATTCATAATTGATATTTTTTACAGAATGAAAAAGATTGATTTGAAAACAAAATAAATATATCAATCAAATTAACATTTCAACCAGCTTTTAATAAGATTGTTAGAGAGTTTATTTATTTTTAATATTATGCAAATCCTTTCATTCATTTTGTATGCTTTTGAATCAATTAATTATATAAATTAACTTTTAATTAATCAAAAACTTAACAACATACTAGCAAAAAGCAACACAACAAACAGAACGAACGAAAAATATAGCAAAGCACTTATCAGATTTGCTTGGAAATATTTAGCATAAATCAACAAAATAATTTTGATTCAAAAAAGTATATAGTTAGCATTTAAAAACCAGAATGTCTTACAAAGCAACAATGGAATTCGGGCTACATTTGCACGAATTCAATAATGTAGATCTTTTCTAATAGGGACTTTATTATTTAAGAATGTCTTTGCATCACATTGACTCTAAAGGAAGGAAAATATTTGCCTAGCCATATAATTTAGTTTAATGTGAAGAAAATCCATAGATCGCAGTTAAATAAGATAAAAAAGTAAATGTTTAAATTATCCTCATAGTGAAAATCAATATATTTTGCTAGAAATTATTTTTGATCATAATGTTAATGCTATTTTAATACATTCTTTATTATCAAAAAGTCAAAGGGATTTGTTAGATAATTTGGAGATGGCCAAATAGAAGATGAAACATTTTCATTTTGCACCCAAAAATTCCCTATCAGATTTTGTGAAGAAACAGTTCCATTGTAATAATTTTAAAAGTCATCTTTTAACTTTGACAATTTATGCTGTAAAATAAATTTATAGGAATTTAATGTGTTTCTGGAGATCTGAAGTTGATGCTTATCCATAATATCAAAACAATTAGTTTATTTTAACATGTGAGCTTATGTGTGCAGATTTTTCAATGATGGGTTAGTGCTAAAATAATCAGGTAAGTTCTTTCTTTTTCATATTATATTGCAAAAGATCTTAAAATCAAATTTATATAAAAGTGAAAAAATAAATAAATTGAAAAAATAATAAGCATAGCATCGCTTTTTTAAATAAGAAATATTTCAATAAAAAAAATTGATTGAATTTAAAAATAGATTAAAATTAATTTTAAAATGATTTTTGTTTTGTTATTAAATTATGATGATATTTTTATCATCAACTCGAATCAAATAATTGTTTTATAGAAATTTTTTAAAAGAATATTATTTATTTATTTTTGAAAACTTCAAAAATATATTTTTTTAGTTTTTAAATCAATTGAAAATGAAATTATTTAACTGATAAATTAAAGGAAAACGCATTCAAATAAGTCAGTCTATTTGAGTGTTAAGTTAACAACAGCTCATTTGGAATTCACGAATATATTCCTATTTAATTCAGTGGCCATCATTATTGCTAAGCAGAAGCTACTTTCCACACCGTTTTGCTTGGTATTTTCATGAATTTAGAATATTATATAAACTGATATCCTTTTCCATAAATTAATAGATTTCAAATTTAGACTTAGTGACTACTAACTAGAACTCATGTCAAACAACCCTAACAATAAAACATAAGTAAATAATAAAGTACTATATCAATTTCATACTCATCTACATATTCATATTTGTCATTTAAAATTTAGGAAAATGCTATAGGAAATTCTCTCCTGATTCAGCCCAGCAGTTTCTTGGAGTTCCTCAATAAAATTACTTACAGATGTAAGTTCAAAATTTTATTTATTTATTTATATTTCAAATATTATTTAAACTTAAAGCAAAATTCTATTAATAATAGCAATAAATATGTTATATATTTTCAATTTAACTAGAATACAATAAAATTTCCTTAATTGAAATGAAAATTTAATCTAAGCAAAAAGACAATAAATAAATAGCTAACTAACTTTAATCCTTTTATTAGTGCCAAACTTAAAAATAAACCAATTATATATACATTTTGAATAAAACTAAAATACAAAATCTCCTTAATTAAAATGAAAATTTAACTCAGCAAAAAGATAATTAATAAAAAGCTAACTTCAATCCTATTATTAGATTCTAATTTAACAATAAATCTGTTATAAACTTTCAATATCACTAGAATATAATAAAATCTCATTTATTAAAATGAAAATTTAAATAATTAATAATAAAAAATTTGCTTCAAATTAAATAAAAAAATTAATAGCAAATAATATCTTTTTATAAAATTTTACAATAATTTAAATATTTTTGAGTTGAAGAAATAAAGCTATTTCTAATAATATTATTATTTATTTGTTTATATTTTAATTTTTTAATTTTTATTTAATTTAGTTAAATAAGAGTATGTCTAATAATTCTTTGAATACTATGTTATTGGATTGAGAAAAAGCTATTAAAATTTAAAGAAGGTTTTAGTTTAGGTTTTAGATGCTTTTCCAGAGCTAAAAAGAGTTTCTGCCACATTATAAGAACCTATTTTAGAGCTTCCTTACCCAGAATTGCCTTCCTAAAATAAAATATTCTCTTAACCTAAAGGAATAACCCCTATTCTTTCATAAAATAAAGGCTTTTAACAAGCTTAAAACAACCAATATCCCTAATCTTAAAACGGTATAAATGTATTATCATATCAATCAATCAGTTAATCAGGAGTTTCAACCTAACTTTCTTCTTAGCACTAAAGATAACCTATTTATTAGCAATAACAACCTCAATTTTAACAAATTTAATAAAATAATAATGCCATCACTTAAGCTCTTGGAATTAGCTCTAGCAATCATATAAATTAAAGTAGATCAATTCAGTAACAACCTTCACTTGACAAAGAAATTCCTCAAATTGCTAAATTTTATAACCTTAACGACTTTAAATAAATGGACTTATTTTCTAAATTTGTACTTTCAGATATGAATATAGTATCAGGAAACATATTTTAATTATGGAATAAGCTAATTGAATTACTCAGAATTGATGGTGATCGCTCAATAAATTACTTAAAAAAACCTTACATTTTAACAATGAAAGAAAAGTAAACAACAAACAAATTAATTAATTAAACCAAAAATAATTCAAATTAAAAAATTTTATTTATTTTTAAATGTTTTAATAAAATCTTTCTTAAACAGATGGGGAGAAGGTGTAAGTAGAGATTAGTTCCCTCATGACATTACCTAGCCTAAAGAAAAGAAAACTGGCAAATAAAACGAAATAACTTCAAATATTTTGAGATAAAAAGTAAAAAAACTTTCTTGAAACAAATTTTCTTTTGTTATTAATAAATTATTTTAATAAATTAGCTTGAATTAATGATTGAACATAACTCGGAACCTTTGAATTTAGTTGATTTAAATTTAATACCATAAACAGACTTAAGACCTTTTTTGCTTGAAGAAATATATATTAACCCATATAAGGTAAAATTGTAAATTGTAAAAAATTATTTTAAATTAAATTAGTTGTTTTTAAATAGAAAATAAATCCATAGCAAATTGATAACAAGAAATCTCACGTTATTGTATTGTGTCATGGATTTTAAGGAAACTATTTCGACATGAGATTGGTTAAAAATAATTTATATTTAATGTACCCTGATGCTCTGTTTTTGAGCTCAAAGTCAAATGAAGAATTTACAAACGGAAATATAGCAGATATGGGAAAGAGATTGTCTATAGAAGTAATTAAATAAATTAAAACCAATTAAATTTAATCAATTTTTTTTATATTTAAAGGTAACTTAATACATCAAAGAGTGGTGTCCTGGTGACACTCTTGGAAGACTAAGTTTTATAGGTCATTCTCTTGGTGGAGTTATAATTAGAGCAGCACTTCCTCATCTCTCCGAATATAGTGATAAAATGTTTTTATATATGTCTCTTTCTTCACCTCATTTAGGTTATATGTATAACTCATCTAAGTTAATAGAAGCAGGTAACTTATTCACTTTATAAAATAAATTTTAAACTCTCTTAAATATATTTATTTCTAAAAACTCTAAAAATTAATTCCAAAAAAAAATAAACTGCAATAGCTTCATTTTTAAAAATCAGCATAAAAAATTTTTAAAGAAAACTTAATTTTTAAAAAGCTAAAAAATTTTTTTGGAATCAGAATTAAACATGGCTTAAATTTGTGTAGATTAACAGTATTTAATCATTAAAGAAATTTTAGAAATAAACAAATATTTATAAATTAAATAACCTAAAAAATGAATAAGAAAATAAAAACAATTATAAAATTAATATGAATAAAAAAAGGTATTTGGTTCTTAAAGACAACTAGAAAGAGTGAGTGCTTAACATAACTTCATATGAGTGATGCAGAGTAATTAGCAGATTGTTATTTATATAAATTAACCAACTTACCTGGATTGAATTGGTTTAGAAATATAGCTTTGCTAAGCTCATATTAAGATTAATATGTACCTTTTGAATCAGCAAGAATATAAAAATGTGATGAAGCATCTAATGAAAATTAGTAAATTAAAAATTAGCAGCATCAAATAATAACTTAAATTTAAAAATTAGGAAAGGAAGAATTTATAACTCAATGGTAGATAATTTGTTAGGTCAGTTGAGAACAGACAGAATTCATAGAATAGATGTTAACTTTAAAATAAAAGAGTAAATAAAATTAAAGCATCTTAATTTCATCTAACCATTTTAAATTATCTTAAAAGTAATAAAACAATCAAGAAAACTATTGATAACATGATAGGCAGATCCGCTCATATTTAATTCCTCGAAAGTGATGCGTTAGCAAAAACCCTCGTTTATTGTTTTGATCATCTTTTCTAATGAATAAAAAATACCTATATCTAAAATACTAATTAAATATTGAATATTTATATTATAAAAATAACTCATTATGCTGTTTTATTTATTGACAAGCTTTGTAATACTAAAAATAATTCATAATATGAAATTTAAAAACGAGTGAAATCAAAATTGTTACTTCATTTTCATAATCAAATCTAATTATCTGAAATAAAATTTATTTTTCTAGGTTTTAACGATAAATAGTTTTTATCATTTTCATTCCAAATTAGTTAAATTTTATATAAAAAAATTAAAAAATATCTTTATTGATTGGATTAAAGTCTCCATTTTTGATTCTTGTTAAATTTTACTTTAATCAAACAATTTATATTTTATTAAATCAAAAATGAATATTTGTCATTCAAATGCATATCTTAAATAAATCAGCATGATGTATATATGATAAACTAAAATACCATAACTTAACAAGAAATACTAAATATGGAAGTCATAATTTTTTTACTTGTGTTTGTTTAAGAATTAATTCTTTTTTATTTTTAGTTTAAAAATAGAAAAATTAAAATATTTAAATATGACCCAATAAAATTTAAATAAATTAGAATATTATTTTTTGTTGAATTTATTTAAGTTATTTTGTAAATATTTTTTATTTTAAAAATCTAAATTTTCATTAAAAATAAAAAATAGGTTTAAGAAAAAAAAATTATATTAGAGTAGAGTGTTAAGTTGATTTATTTTTAATTTCTTTGTTGTTAAAAATTTGAGTGAAAAGGGATAAATTTTAAAAGAACAAATTAATTGAAAAGATATGTTTTGGAATTTGTTGAATATCAAAGATATGCTGTTTACTTCTTCTTCAAATTAATCAATCAAAAAATAAACAAAACAACATATTCTTTATTATTTATTTATTGTTCATATTTCTGATCAAATTTATTATTAAATTTTCCGTTTTCAAAATTAACGCGAAAAATTGAAAAAAATACAAAAGGAGGAATTATTTGTTAAAAATATAATTGTGCATTGATTAATTAATTAATTAATTAATTAATTAATAAATAATGGTGTATGCCAAAATAAATAAATAAAAAAAAAGGTTAACGAATATTTTAAATTAAAAAATTAATATGGTTATTTGGTTACTGATTAGATTTATTTGTGACAATTCTAAGTAGAATTTAATATAATAAATTAAAAATAATAAATAATAGAAAATTCAAGAACGCGATAATTTATTTTATTCAATATAAAAAATACATTAAAAACAAATATGATCAAAAGCAATATCACAAATATTTTTTTTAACAAACAGTAATTTATAGTTTAATATTTCCTTGTATAAGCTGGTTACTTCAACTGCTGAAGTAAACTTTAATTCCCCGAAATACGCTAAGAAAGTATTTTATTTTTTGTTTGGCTTATGCTAGGTTTTTTAGTATATTTTGTTTAGTTTTAGTAAAAATGAATCAAGAGAGGAGATTCATTGACTCACTAGACTCTGGAGAGAATTTTATTTAGTTGCTATTTGGATTTTTTTCAAAAGAGAGATTGTCCATTGAGCTAACTTTCGATGGTTTCTACTACGTTCTATTTTTTTAAAAATTGAGATTTAGAAAACAAATTTTTAAGGTGGAGTTGATAAAAAAAAATAATTCAGGCAGTTAGATATTTTGTTGAATTGAGAGATAAATATATGGAGTGCAAAAATATTAGAAGGATAAAGAAGTATCCAAATAACTTAGAATAATGTATAAATCAATCAATCAAAAAAATAGATTTATAACAACTACCCAGTTTATCAATCAATCAATCAAATTTTTGTTTGTTTGTTTGTTTTTGCGATTAAGAAATGGGGATTTAAAAAAATTAACTAACTAACTAATTATTTTGATTAAAAATGAATCAGGAAGTATATAAAAATGTGAGTGTATATTTGATATTTTTAAATGTATGCAAAAACTCCTATTTAAATTGAGAGGTATATTGATTGAATGAATGATTGTCTTAAATTAGACTGAATTAATCAAATTTAATTTTAATAAGATCAAAAGCAAAATTATAATAATATCTTACGATATCTAAGGAATCAATGCTGTTGAAACTATCAAAGCGAGATCTGCGAGCATTTTGAATGATTTAGATGCGCTCTTCAGGAGTTTTGGCAAATTTGAGGTTGAGTTTAGCGCGTATGACATTAAGTCTTTAGACAACTTTTTTCATGCGAAGACTTCTGTTGCATTAGAGGCGTTTTTCGATTTCTTACATGTTGACTTTCTCCTCTTTTCTGAATTTGTTCTACATTCATTTTATAAAAAAAGTTAATATAAATACTTGCTGAGTTTTTTGTGTAAAAGCTCTATTTGTAAACTTATTTCTTGTATTGAATTCTATTTATTAATTTAAAGATGTGTTTAGTCAAATTTACCTTGCACATTTTGCGGGTTCTGTTGGTGAAGAGTCTTGAAATCATAGAGAAGTCTGTTCCGAAGAGTTCAAGTCCCTTGTAGAATTTCAAGGTTTCGTCATGAGACCATTTTTTGGTGTGTTCTCTGCTCAAGAATGAAGCACTGTTAATACCTTTTTTAGTGGATGCTTGTGTTGAGGATGATGATTTTTCTTCAACTTGTAATTGAGCTATGGTTTTTTAAGAGATGCTAATTTCGATGTCGTTTGTGCTTTTCAACTAACTATGCCCCTGCAGTGGACATGAATCTAACGACTACAGCGACGTTAGGTTTGGTATTGGATTATCACTACTACTTTTCGCTATTCCATCAAATTCATCTTCATCATCATCTGAAAGTATTTTCTGTGAAAGGAAATGAGAGGAGACGCATTCTTCTTCGTCGGAGCTGCTGGATTTCTTGTTGAGGTGAGAAAGAGCTGAAGAGGTTTCTTCGGTAAGAGACTCATCATCCAAGTTGGAGTAGGATGTTGACATCTATGATAAAGCTCTTAAAGGAGAAGAGAGAGCGTTCAAACAAGTGCTTTGGCAAGCAGCATTGTTTTCTTATAAAGAAGCGCAAGAAGAGAGAAGAGATAAGGACAAATTAATAGCAAATCCGTTTCCATTCTATTCCAAGACAGATTCATGGTTCTCATTATGGCCAAAAGTGCTATTAATACATTCCTTAGCAGACTTAGTAATTCTAACTTCGTCGTTCAACTTGACTCTCTTTTCCAACTTTTCCAACTTTGCGCATTCAATTTCTTCTCTTTGTTCTCTTTGAATTCTTTCTCTCTTAGTTTCTTCCTTAGCGATTTGAGTCATGCCTCTCTTGACGGGTTGCTTCTTAGTCTTTTCGGGGACAGTAATAATAGGCTTTACGGTAATAATTTGTTCCATTCCTCTTTTCTTTTTATATTATGGTACTTTTTTGCTGTTGTTAATTTGTCTTATTTATATTCTTCTTCTTCCTATATTTATACAAAGTATATAATAAATACAATATATTCAATCACTTTAGCTATTTATTTGTTAGTCAATCAATCAATCAATAAATAAGTCATCCATCCCTATTTTTTCATAGCATGACTTCCTTCATACCAAGCAAATGTCATCACTGCTGTCATCCACCTTGAGTCCTCTGCTGCTGCATAGCATGGAAACGGTTGATGCATTGGTAAAAGACATATGTTAGATAAACTCTTGATATGAGAAGGACTAACGAATACTAATAAAGTTTGTATATATTGTTATTTACTTAAGTTTTATTTGCTTCTTTATAGTGATTGCTTTCTCTTTTTATTGTATTTTGTGGTTAATACAAAAATTAATTACTTTTTTCTAATTATTATTATTATAGTCTTGCCCTAGACTCTACTCTTTCTTTACCTAAAGTCTGCATTATTTTCAATCCTCCTTTCTTTTTTTTGATTCTACACTCATATTTTATCTCTTTATCTATTTATCTATTTATCTATCTATTTGTATGTATATCTATTTATCTATCTTCTCCGCCTATATTTAATCTGCCAAATGCAAATTTGATTCTTTCTAACTTTTCTTCCTTCCTTTTTTTAACTCTAAATATAATTACATACACTACTATTAATTTATTAATTGATTAACTAATTCAACTCTCTCATTTAGAGTTAGTTCCATCTTCCTCAAAACCTTAATTTTTATCCAGCTAAAAGCAAATGAACAATTTTCATACTCAGATTTCTTATTTTTTAAGCCTGCTTCATTCATTGTTTCTCTGCACAAAAAGTCTAACTCAATTTTCTAAACAAAGAATTACTCAAAAAACTAATTCAAAACACTCAAAAAAAATCAAATTAATATTCTTTCATAATTTTTCTTTAGTTATATTTAATTTTTGAATGAAAGCAAGAAAAATGCAATAATATTAATTTAACAAAATTCGTTTTATACTAAATAAAACTTCTTATTAATTCTTAGTAAAATATTACTGTTTGTTAAATATTCATCTTTTCTCATTGTATTTGCAAGTAATTTCATCATTTAAGTTATCTATAAAAGTATGAGTAATATTTTAAATTAAAGAGCAACTCTATCATTTAATTTATAATGAAACAAAAAATACGAATAATTAAATTAGAAAAAATAACAAATTTGCTTAGTATCAAAAAAAGAAGGATTTATTTTTTTATTCGACTATTGTTTTCCTAGTTATTCTATTGATGCTAATTTGAATGTATGATAAAGAAAATTCAAAAAAAGATTAAAAGAATTAATATAAAATTTAAGGATTTCTTAAACAATTTCATAAAAATATTAAAGTTTAAAATAGTAAAGTGAATTTTAGAGGATAAAAACACATTAATAAAAATAGATAATTTAAAATAAATTAAATCATTAATTACTTTATAACTAATCTATCAAACAAGAATAGTTTGTTCTACTAAAAAAAAGGTCTATTCGATCAAAAATAATTAAACAAATATAATAAAACACATTTTAGTCTTATTTATACTAGAAATTAATTTAAACACAGGATTTAAATTAATATTTTAATTCATTTTATTTTTTATATTTTGACCTATCTTTCCTTTTAGTGAATTTATTATTTTCACTTTAAATAAAATTTATGCTAAGATAAATTTAAATTATTTTTTAGCCCTGTAATTAAAATTAAATTTTTGTTTTAATAATAAACAATTCACACTGGCTCATTTTATTAAACTAAATTTAATAAACTTCTTTTAATTGATATAAAAATTAAAAATTATTTTAAAATTTTATTAATATAAAATTTATTTTCTAATAATCTAAAAACTATAAAAAAATAGATAAAGATTAAATAAAACCACCTAAACAAATTCTATTATTATTACCCTAAAAAAGAACCATATTAAAATAATAACATAATTAAATTAATTAGTTAGATAGATAGAAGAGTACTTCTTAAAAATTAGTTCATTATTCCTTTTTTTATGGATTAATTTTAAACTAAATGTTCATTTTTGTTGGTCTTTATCTCCGATTTCTATTCAAACATTCCCAAGACTTCATTTTATAAAATTTTAATTAAATTTTAAAATATAATAATTATAAATCAAAGAATAGAAGGGTTTTACATGATAATTTATAGATTGAAAAAGTTAATCTAACTCAAGGTGTATGTTTTTAGTATATTTACCATTTTGCTTTTAATTGAAATATTATACTAAAAGTTTATCGATGAAATTATAGCAAATAGTTTTTTTAAGTTTTTAATTTTATATTTACAAAAAAAAAATAAAAATAAACCATCAGTTTATTATAATTGCTTTTTTAATTTAATTTTAAATAAAGAAGAACAAAATAAATAAAATTTATATAATAAAAATTATTCTTTACAAACTTTAAGACATAATGTATGTAATGCATTTTTTTTTAGAATGACTATCCATCTTTAATTTCTAATATATTTTTGAGTATACGCTTTTTATAGGAATAATAAGGTTTATAACAAATTTTACATAAATTTTTTGTGATAACTTACAAATTAATTAGAAATAAAAGTAAATATATTTTTTTAATATATTATTATTATTAATTAAATTTTTACAAATTGCTGTTGAATATTTTTGAAAGAAAAATAAAAAACTAAATGATATAGCAGTAATTCCATA